ATCTGTGATTGGTCTGTAGACCAGAGCCTGTCTGTGATTGGTCTGTAAACCAGAGCCTGTCTGTGATTGGTCTGTAGACCAGAGGCCTGTCTGTGATTGGTCTGTAGACCAGGAGCCTATCTGTGATTGGAAAGAAGCCAAACATTTGTCTTATTGAGTAAGTTATTTTGTTGGTTTTCCTCATATACATTCTGTTGGAGCTGGAGGGTCTATGTTTTCTGTAAGACTGATCCTGCTGTGAATATTTTAGAGGTCTGTAGTTCAGAACAGAATAAAAACAACTGTTCTTCATACATCTGTTCTCAGAGACAGACTGAAGGAGCTTCAGTATGTGCAGGAGTACAAACCGGTGAAAGAAGGCGTCAAGAACCTGCGAGTTCTCCTCTACGGACCTGTGGGAGCAGGGAAGTCCAGCTTCATTGACTCTGTTAGCAGCATCCTTCGAGGACGAATGGCCATCCCTGCTTTAGCCAGTTGCACCACCTCTGACAAAAGCTTCACCAAAAAAGTGAGAAAACTTTCAGGTTCCCGTTCCTCTTAGAGTCAAGTCACCTCAGCAAGAACAATCATTTTTAGATTTCTGACATTAAAGCATCACTACCGTAGTTTGTTTGTTTGAGCTTCTTCCTGTCAGAAATGTGCTTCCTGTTTCCTGTCAGCTGGTTCTGGTCATGTGGGCATCACTTGTTTTGAACAACAACTTGTTTCTTTGTGTTTCAGTATGAAACTCATAAATTTAGTAAAGGAAGAGGAAGCTCTAAGACATTCTACCCTCTGGTCTTCAATGACATCATGGGTCTGGAAGACGGGACGAACTGTGGGGTTCATGCTCAGGACATCATACTGGCCTTAAAGGGACACATAAAGGAAGGCCACAAGGTACATGACTCACCTTGACTGGAATAAGTTTGAATACCGCCGGCTGCGGGATTTTATTTACAGCCATTAAATGTTATTTTTAGTTCAGTCTGTTCAGAAGGAACTGTCCACAATAACAGATATAATCATAATAAAGAAGAAGTGTCAGACTTAATCACAGGCTGGTTTCCATCTGCAGTCCCTGACAGATAAACAATTAAAAAACTCAATAAAAACCATTAAATGTAAAAATATTATATGATAGTCAAATAATAATAACTACAAATCAAAACTAATAAACATAAATAAATGTAAAAAACAACACTCTTTTGTTTGGGATGCATCACGGATGTTTGCAGAAGGGCTTAATTTGTAAACTGATCAATGCCAGAATGCAAATGGGGGGTGGGGGGGTGGGGTGGGGGTCCTCCTCTCCCTCAAATGTTTGAATAAAGTAGATGCTATTTCCTGCATTTTGATGTTGCCTATTCTAACTGGTTGTTAAACATCTACATTTGTAAACACTTGATTAAATTACTATTTTAGAGCAACAACAGGTTGTGTGTGAATAAAGCAGCCCCCCCCCCCACACACACACACACACACACACTTCATGTTTCAGAGCTGAACACTTCTCCTCTGAATTAATTCCTGCACGTTGTTGCTCCTGCTGCTCCGACCTCAATCACGACTTCCTTCTCGGTTGTCCAACTAAGGACACTCCATCCATCCATTCGTTTACAGAAAGTAAACTGAACTGTCTTTTCGACATTTGGATCGCTGCTATTTTGACAAATTAGCGCCGTCGTTTTGAAACGTGACGTAATGTGAATAATACACCGTCCTTTGCCGGTATCTGCTAGCTAGCAGGTCCCGTTGCTTTGTCCTGACTAATTTTTATGTACATGTATTGTTTTTTTTGTGGTATTGTAGATCTTATGTAAATAAACTTCACTTACATGTGTTTTTTTTCCATTGCCCTTTTCTTTGGTTTCCAGTTCAACCCAGTAAGTCCAGTCTCGGAAGGTGATTCAGGCTATAACCCCAATCCTTCTCCAGACGACAGAGTTCATGTTCTCGCCTGTGTGATTTCTGCCAACTCTCCACAAATCAATACATCAGTTCTGGAGAAGATGAGAAGCATCAGAGAAAAGGCTAGTGACCTGGGTAAGAATGGGTTTTCAGATCGATCATTCAGAAGAACAACGAACGAACCACCGTTCAGTCTGTTGGTCTGAATGCCACACTGATTTATACAGCACACTGAAACACAACGGGGGTTGTGATTCACAATTAACTCAAACAAAGCAGTAAAACACAACATCATAAAATAAAGTTAATTAAAATACAAACAAAATAATAAATGCAATATCTAATGGGATCCCATATGTGGAAAGGTGGTTTATATAGATGATATACCTGAGGAGGACTGGGGGACCAAGCTAGGCGAAAGGAAATGTATTTACCACAGAGAGGAGAAACAGAGAAGAAGGGTTCTGGTACTGGTTTTAAAAACCGAAGTGATGTTCAGAGCTGCTGCAGATAAACCTGCCACAGCTCCCTCCTCCACTGGTCCAATTTCTACCACTGCATCCTGGTTTGCCTGCTGCAGGCCCCTCCCTGGTCTTTATATCTGCCTCCCCATCACTGGTTTGACATCTGCAGCCTCCCCTGTGGCCTCTTCACCTCTCGTGCACCTCGTTCAGCTAGTGTTGTCCAGACCCGACCTTGAGAAACTAGTCCACGCTTCTGTCACGACCCGATTGGACTATTGCAATGCACTCTATGCTGGGGTCAGCCAGGCCTCCATCTCATGTCTTCATCTAATCCAGAATGCTGCTTCTGTGTTTTTTACTGGAACTCGTAGGTCTGAACATATTACACCAGTTCTGTCCTCCCTTCACTCGCTCCCTGTGCGCACTAGAATAGTCTTTAAAATTCTTCTGTTGACCTTCAAGTGCCTAAACGGCCTCGCACCCCTTTATCTCTCCGAGCTACTGGAACCTTACGTTCCCTCTCTGGCCCTGAGATCATCCGATCAGCTGCTTTTGGTTGTTCCAAAAACAAGACTGAAGCTCAGAGGAGATCGGGCTTTTTCAGTCATGGGTCCCAAACTCTGGAACAACCTGCCCCCCCAACATCAGGCAGGCCACCTCCCTTCTTCAGTTCAAATCTGCTAAAAACACATCTGTCCTCGCAGGCGTTTCACACAGTGTGATTGATTTAGTGTGTTCCTATGCTTTAATTGCTTTTTATAAATTCTTCAGTATTATCGTTAGCATATGGTATTTTTTCATTAATTTTACTCCAATTGATGATGTTGTTAACTTTGATAACAGTTTCTTTCTGTTTTAATTGTGCTCTATAAATAAAGTTGACTTGACTTGATTCTGAGAGGGACCAGGTGGGCGTCTCACTTGTAATGGACGGTCTCCGGGCCGTCCCTCAGAACTCTTGCCCCCCTCTGGACAGGCCACGTTCCATTTTGCTGAACTCTGGTTGCGCTCTGGACAGTACCTGTCTGCCTGAATTTTTGTGTATTGCCTGTTTTGAGTTTTCCCAGCTCAGCCATGTCAGTTTTTGTTTTTTATCTTTGTGTTTTTCGTTTGTTGCCCTCCATCCTGTTTCCACCCACGAAGTCGGAACTTTGTTTTGGCCTTTGGGACGGCAAGAGCCGTTCCTTGACCGGACCGGTACTGACGTAATCTGTGTTTTTCTGTTATTTCTTTGAGTTTCTTTTGCCTCTGTTCCCCTTCTGATTTGTGTTATATCTTCAGATCCTCGTGTTTTGACTCTGTTTCCATGTCACTCCACCCTCTCCTCAGTCAGTCTCTCCAGCCACTTGTCACTCACACTCGTTTGTAATTAGTAACCATCCCAGGTGCTTTCATTTCTCCCTCTCCCTCAGTCCTACTTAAACCACTCCTGATCACCCCACCATGTCAGCTCATTGTTCTGCAACCCTGTCAGATGTCTCAGTTCTCCTCGTGCCTCCTTGTGCTCTCCCATGTGTTAGTTTGTAAGTTGTTGCTGCCACGTCGGCCTGTTATTTTTGATTATTTAATAAATCCATCCATCCATCTTGCACTTATTCCGAAGTCGGGTCACGGGAGCCATTTTTGTTTTCTATCATGCTCCCCATGACTACCTGCACTTGGGTCTACACACACCGAACCATGATACCTGCAGTAAGTCCAGAAGGATAATGATGGTGACGATTATCGCCAAGTTGATGATGACAGTGAAGATCTGATGTTTGCTCTGAGAGGGTTGGAGAAGTTCAGAGACGGTCAGGAGGAGCTGCAGATGATCAGGAGGGAGGAGCTGAGGTTCTGCATGAGGAGGTCAGGAGTGGTGGGGAAGTACCAGTATGGGAGCGTAGGGCAGGACATGTCAGAGGACAGAGACCGTGGTGAGATGTGCAGAAGGAGAGACAGATGGGTTTGAGGTGGGGTTACATCAGGGACAGATGGGATCAGACAGCAGTCCACAGAGTCTGTGATGTTAGCAGATAACTTCTGCAGTGAGAGTAGGGAGCAGATGGAAGATAGGTGGAGGTATGAAAGGCCAAAGGTTTACAAGAAGGTAGAGACTTGCTGTCATGGTTGGAGACTGTGTCTCTGACAGGAGACGGAGCTGGAGGTGGCAGAGGATGTACTTGATCACAGATGAGTCCATCAGAGGGACATCTCAGGTTTGGAGACAAAGTTAGAGCTGAGGTGGTTTGGACATGTCCAGAGGAGGGAAAGTGGACACACTGGATAAAGAATGTTGAATATGGAGCTGCCAGGGAGCAGGAACAAAGAAAGACCACAGAGATGGTTGATGGAAGGATCTGCAGAGGGTTGGTGGGACAGGAGAAAAAGACCTGCATGTTGGGCCGCCTTCAGGCCCCCCTGAAAATGAGATTGTTGAACTCAGAGTTCGCCTAATTGAATAAATATTAATAACAATGTGTCATTGATCCCATTCAGCATAAAATTAGTTGTTTATAATAAAAAGTTTTAAAAAAAAGAATCGCACCTCACATGAGACAGCGAGGGGTTTAGTGTCCCACCCAGGGACACTTCCACATATGACTATACTGGTGGAATCAAACCTCTGACTGCTCTAACCACTGATCCACAGCCACTCCTGTGTGTCTGCAGGAATTCCCCAGATGGCGATCCTGACCAACATTGACGGGGCCTGTCCGGAAACTGAGAAGGACCTGAGGAACGTGTACCGCAGCAAACACCTGAGGAAGAAGGTGAGTCTCGGTGCAGAGACATCCTCCTGACGTCATCACCTCTCAGAGTCTGACTGTCGGGGTTTAATCCTCAGATGACAGACGTCAGCGCTGCAGTGGGAATCCCCATGAACTGCATGTTTCCTGTGAAGAACTACTGCGAAGAAATCCAGCTAAAGAACGAGGTGGACATCCTAATCCTGAGCGCGCTCAGAAAAATGGTCGACTTCGGAGACGATTTCATCGAAAACTTGTGAACATGTTTACAGTCTGCTGAATGGGTTGTGTACGGTGGATGGGTTGTGTACGGTGGATGGGTTATATGTGTGGTGTTTTATGAAGCATATTATTTGATGAAATGGGGAAATTTCTCAATGTTTCCATGAAGGCCTTAATACAAATCTGTCTTTTTAAGGTTTGAACAGTGTTTTATTGTCTGTTTCCTGTTGATCCCCCGGAGCAGAACTCAGGGTCCTGACGTCCCAGATATAAAATGTTCAGAGCTAGAATCGTGAAAACGCTCGTCTGTGAAGACGAATTCTGTTGATCCAAAGCTGAACTTTGGTTCTTTAAAATGTTGTAACTATGAGTCTAATGTTTAATAAACCTTCCAGTTGTCAGACTCTGAGGTGTTTCTTCCATTAGAGTGAACATTCTTTCATAAAAACACGTCAGATGTTCGTTCCATCCTTTAAATCAGCTTCACGGACCTGGTGAAGGGTTGGTGCTGTCAGGAGTTCCAGGTGTGTGAGCCCACCTGAAGTCTTAACTCCCAGTCCTGTACTGGTTTTTATACCTGAGGACAGTGGCAGTTTCTGATATATGCAGCTGCCCAGGGCTGCATCTCGACAAGGGTGGCCCGAGCGCCCGGCTCCGCCCCTCAAAAAATAAAATACATTATTTATGCCTGTCTAACCTACACATCAGTTTGCTATGGCCCACTTGTCAGGAGTGGACACCCTCTTCCAGGTGCAGGGCGTGCAGCTTCTGCTCAGGTCTGACACACACACGGATGCATCTAATACAATTAGTTCACTAAATAAATCACACCACTGACTGCTCCCAAACAAAGAACATTTCATTCATAATATTGTGGATATAGCCAATAGTTGACAGCTTATTTCTGTGAAATTATTGAAAATGTATTACAGTAATGAATCTGCACACCAAGGAAGGTGAATTAGTTTAGAACTAAGCCTTTTTGGCTCATGCTGGGGGAGTGCCAGTTGCACACATGGGAGATGGACAAGAACAGCTCAGATCCATCAGGTGCCCAGTTCAGGAAGAAGAGGAGAAACAAGCACAAGATGAAGATCTGCAGTTGTGTCATCTCTTGGAGCATTACAACAGTTCTGTTGCCTGCTGCAAGATAGGCTTACTGTTAATTAATAACATAAGATGCTAGCTGTAAGTTCAGGATGACATGTTCGGTTTTCAGCAGAAAGTAGTCTCGTTTTGAAGATTGAAATTCTTCTAAAACTAAACTACTACACGATAAAGCAATATTAGGCTGCTATAATTACTAAAGGCTTGTGATGTAGCTTAATTAACCATTAACTGGAAGAGGTGTTGATTTGTCTCCTATTCTGAATATTTCACACACTGGACATACTGTGTATGCTGCTTGTTTTGTCTTAGCTGTTTGCAGTGTCAGTATGACGATCCTTAAATCACTTCACATTATTTGGAAAAGTTATGTTAGCTTGAAGTACTCAGTGTTGCATTAGGATACTTCTCAACGGTTTTGTAGCCCATTAAATAACCATTGTGAGGTATAGAATTATGAATGTTTAATAAGGATACAACTGATGTTTCAGAGGTTTTAAGTTTGGTATTTTAATGCAAATTCAGGAGGATTCTGAGATATTTTGGGCACCCTCTGCCACATGCGAGGATGAGGAGACATCCTCTTCCTCAGCCACACAGGCCTCTTCAGCAACGGTTCTGGAGCCTCTAGGAAGAGGAATAATCCACCTCCTCACCTCCACCTGTGGAGGCCCACACGTGGGCGATGCAGGCTCGGGGGATGGGGAGCGCTGAAGGGGTTGTTCGCCCAGGGCACCAAACAGGCTAGGACCGCCCCTACCCGAGGAGAACCAGCTCCTGGTTCCTAAAGAGGTTTATCCTCAGGAGAGGAGGTCGGGTTGCTCCATCACGCGCACAGGACGGTGAGCTAGCGCCGCCTTCAAAATAAAAGTTTTAAAACTTTTTTTTTTTAAAGGACTGATTAATTTCATCTCTGACGAAAGTAAACATTTACCATCTTTACCTTTGCATCCATTGATGTAAATTTAACTGTTTATTAATAAATTAAATAAACACTAAATGATAGAAATAACAACAAAAGAAAGAAAACAAAAGTTCTAGTAATTATGGTGTAAATAATATTATTCATGTTCTTTTTCCAAACGGAAGAGAACTTCAGACAGAACAGATATCTTTAGAACATTTCTAATTACTGAATTTATAATATGAATCTTAGAAAAATGTAAAAATAAACTAATAATTTAAATACAAAACAAACTTAATTAAAAGACCAAAAAGCAGACATTGCCAAGATGATTATTAATATTAATATAATTAATACTAATAATAAAATGTTGGTGAAATTCTACAAGAAAAATTATGGAGTTTAGGGTGTTTCAGCAACAACTTTTGTTTTGTTCTCATCAGTAGAAAAAATGATTCAGTGTGAAACTTACTGAAAATATAGTTTTGCAACTTTGAGCATAAATAAAATCAAATAAATCTTTAGGTTCAGACCCACAGCTGTTTTCCTGTCAGGTTCTCTGCAAATCCAAGTTGTGTAAGAGAACGAAACTAAAACCACAAAAATCACATCCAACAGTTCATCATTTAATAAATATAAACTGAACCTTTTCTCTGAAATTCACCAGAAACAGAAACATTTAAATGCATTTAGTGAATGCGTTTAAGTCCTTTTCACAAACATCTGTTCTATCTTCTGAGAACCCAGATTAAAATAAAAGTCTTTTCAGACACCTCGGTGTCACAATTAAAGCTCCAACAGACTCTAAAAAATGTTCCTGACTGTGAGGAAAGACAGGCTGCAGGTCTCTTTTCAAATACTTAGAGTTGGCGCCGTTATCAGAAAGCAGTGAAAGCTGCTAAATCCAAATTCTTCTCTGATATAATTACCTCAAACTCTCACAACCCACGTGTCCTCTTCTCCACCCTAAACTCTGTTCTCCACCTCACTGAACCATCACCTCTGGAAGCCTCGACTGAGCTGTGCGACAACTTCTTACATTTCTTTATGGAAATAAATTGCGACCACCCGGGCTCTCATTTCCCCTCCAACTCATGACCCATCCATCCCACCTCAATCTGTAGCTCCTTTTGACCATTTTGAACCCATCACTCCGTCTTCTCTAGAGCAGGTCATGTGCAGCTTGAAACCTTCTGGTTCCCCCTTTGATGTGGTCCCTCCTCAACTACTAAAGGAGGTTTTTCCTACTCTGGGTCCGTCCATTCTTGATATAGTAAACAGTAGTTTATCCACTGGCGTGGTGTCAAAATCCTTTAAACATGCTGCTGTCCAGCCTCTCCTGACAAAAACAAACCACGACCCCTCAGTCGTTTCCAACTACTGGCCTGTCTCCAAACTCCCATTTGTTTCTAAACTACTGGAGAAAATAGTCAAGTCCCAGTTGAAGTGCTTCCTGGAGGATCACGCCATCTTAGAGCTATTCCAATCTGGCTTTAAACCTCTCCACAGCACTGAAACTGCCTTGCTGAAGGTCTTTAACGACATCTTCAGATTCACAGATACCGGTGATTCTGTGCTGCTTGTCCTATTGGACCTCACAGCCGCCTTTGACACCATCGACCATGAGATCCTCATTGCTAAGTTGGAGCAGTGGGTGGGCATCACAGGGTCAGCCCTCAATTGGTTGAGATCTTACCTCGCTGACAGATCCTTTTGTGTCTCCATCAAGGATTTTAGTTCTGCAGTGGCAGAGCTTAAATGTGGGGTTCCGCAGGGGTCCATCCTGGGTCCCCTCCTATTCTCTTTATACCTGCTGCCGCTTGGTGCTATTTTCCGGAAACACAACATGCCCTTCCACTTCTACGCCGATGACTGTCACATTTACTTCCCCCTAAGACACAATGGTACATGCTCTATTCAACCGCTGCTCGACTGCCTGGCTGACATCAGGGACTGGATTTTAAACTTCTTAAGTTTCAATGAAAAGAAGTCTGAAGTCATGTTGTTCCCTCCCAACAACACGATCACAAACCACTGCATCGACCTCTCTGCTCTAACCCTGTCAGTCACTAATCTGGGCGTGATAATGGACTCTTCCCTGAAGCTTAACAATCATGTAAACATGATTGTTAAATCATGTTTCTTCCAACTGAGGCGGCTGTCTAAACTGAAGCCCATATTGTCCAAAAATAACTGGAGACAGTAATACATGCATTCATTACATCTAGGCTTGATTACTGCAATTCACTCCAGTTTGGTATCAGTCAAACCTCCATTGCACGACTACAACTGGTCCAGAACGCAGCAGCCCGATTTTTAACCAGTACAGGCAAAAGAGAGCACATTACACCAGTTTTGGCCTCACTGCACTGGTTACCGGTTCACTTTCGAATCCAGTTCACAATACTACTGTATGTCTACAAATCACTGAACAGTCCCCCCCCCCCATCTCTCTGATCTGCTACAACCATATGTCCCACCACGAGGTTAGCGGACCAGTTGCTCCTCACAGTTCCAGGAACTCGTCTTGAGCGCAAAGGTGACAGAGCCTTCTCTGTAGCAGGACCAAGACTTTGGAACGAGTTACCTCTGTTTGTCAGACAGGCCCCCTCCCTCTCGGTTTTCAAATCCCGTTTAAAAACCCACTACTATTCAGTAGCTTTCAACACCAGATGATCTGTGTTTTGATCCTGTATGTTCCACACTGGTTAGTCGACATTATCTGCATCGTTTTTTTGTCTATATTCTGATTTACCTCATTTTGTATTTTGCTTTGTGTGTTGCCTGTTGTTCTGTCTGTACAGCACTTTGGTTGGCCTTGTCGCTGTTTTAAGTGCTCCATAAATAAAATGGTATGATATGGTGAGGCTTTTATGTTGAAGAAGCCGACCGGAAGTGACGCTCGGACTAACAGCTGGGTTTGGCCGCAGACTGACGGAGCGCAGCTTCATCTCTGCGCGTTTTCTGCTGCTGGAGCCGGATTAACCCCGCACAGGAGAGTCCGAACCGGACCGGACTAGTCGAGCCCGGTGGAACTAGACCGGACTGAGGCCGGGCCAGAACGGAAGGGCAGCTTCATCTCGTTTTGCTGCAGTCAGACCGGAGTCTTCCTCACCGGTAAGAACCGTCTGTCTGTCTGACGGCTGCGCGTGCGTGTGCACGCGCGCGCCACGCCCCTCCCTGCTGCAGACTCACCTGAGGTCAGAGCATCCTACACGCGCCCGGAGACACTCAGGGAGGTGTGTGTTTGTGTCCAACCCTGGCCCGGTCCCCCAGAACCACCAGCGGCCCGGGTCCTCAGACCACCATGTTGGCGTTTCAGAAAGTGTCTCTTTGTGTTCCAGAGTCCCTGGAGATGAGAGGGTCCGGTTCAGTCCTTCAGGAGGGTCTGGTGCAGGATCAGTAATGGTACAGAGACGTCCAACATGTCTCAGTCAGCACTGATGGTGTGTGTCCTCCTCCTGCTGCTTCCTGCAGTCAAAGGTCAGTCTGAGACACATCTGGAACTTTGTCCTTTTGGACTCCCAAAAGAGCAGCTTGGTCGGACATAAAGCAACAGTCCTGTCCATTCTGGACGTCTCAAACAAAAGAGAGACATAGGACATGTAGGGACAGATGGGACATGAATACAGAGACAATTTAGAAAATGACTTTTCTGAGGTCCATCAGTCATGTCATGTGGTCCACCGAGGTCCATCAGTCATGTCCTGTAGTCCACTGAGGTCCATCAGTCGTCCACTGAGGTCCGTCAGTCCTATCCTGGGGGGTCCACTGGTCTCAGTGGTTGTGTTTTTGTTCAGGTGATAAGGATCAGTCGTCCATCCTGTGCTCATTGTGAGTTTGAAGCAGACTAAACATTCAGAGTCTGCTGGCTCCAAACGCAGGGAGGAACAGATTCCTGAGAGCTGAGACAAACCAACACGCACACACACACACTTAGTCACACATACGCACGCAACTTCCCCCCCCCAAACACACACATACACACTCTGATAATCTAGATCCAAACCATTTCCATTTACTGATTATCTGGTTGTTGGATGTAACTGGGACCCTGTGTACACAATTGAACGACAAACAAAGAAACTTTGACTTTTCATCCAACCTTTATTTATACAGGTTAATCCCATTGAGCCTCGGGGACTCATTTACAAGAGAGACCTGATTTTTTTTAAACACAGAGTGATGACAACAGTGGACAACAAAAGACAGTCATAAAGGATGCGTACAAATTGAGAATAACGAGTGAAAATAAAATGGAAGAAGGGGAAGACAGTAGGACCTGAAGACATACCAGTGGAGGTTTGGAAATGTCTTGGAGAGATGGTGAGGTTTTTGACTCAAATATTCAATGGCATATTTGAGGGTGAGAAATTGCCTGAGGAATGGAGAAGAAGTGTGCTGGTGCTCATTTTTAAGAACAAGGGTGATGTTCAGAGTTGTAGCAACTACAGGGGAATTAAGTTGATGAGCCACACGATGAAGATCTGGGAGAGAGTTGTGGAAGCAAGACTCAGATGAGAGGTGACTATCTGTGAGCAGCAGTATGGTTTCATGCTGAGGAAGAGCACCACAGATGCATCTTTGCTTTGAGAATGTTGATGGAGAAGTACAGAGAGGGTCAGAAAGAACTCCATTGTGTCTTTGTGGATTTAGAAAAAGCATCTGACAGAGTGCAGAGGGAGGAGGTGTGGTGTTACATGAGGAAATCTGGAGTGGCAGAAAAGTATGTTAGACTGGTACAGGTCATGTATAAGGACAGCAGGACAGTGGTGAGATGTGCTGTAGGAGAGACATATAGCTTCAAGGTGGAGGTGGGAGTGCATCAAGGATCGGCTCTGAGCCCCTTCTTGTTTGCTCTGGTGATGGACCGACTAACAGATGAGGTCAGGCAAGAATCCCCGTGGACTATGATGTTTGCAGATGACATTGTGATCTGTGGTGAGAACAGGGAACAGGTGGAAGAGAACTTGGAGAGGTGGAGGTATGCACTTGAAAGAAGAGGAATGAAAGTCAGCCGTAGTAAGACAGAGTCCATGTGTGTGAATGAGAGGGAGGAGGTGGAACAGTGAGGCTACAAGGAGCAGAGGTCACAAAGGTGCAGGACTTCAAGGACTTGGGGTCCACTGTCCAGGAACATGGGGAGTGTGGTAAAGAGGTGAAGAAGAGAGTCCAGGCAGGATGGAGTGGATGGAGAAAAGTTTCAGGAGTGATTTGTGACAAAAAGGGTGTCAGCAAAGGTCAAAGGAAAAGTTCACAAGACAGTGGTGAGACTAGCTATATTGTATGGTCTGGAGACAGAGACATGGACAAAAAGACAGGAGACAGAACTGGAAGTGGCAGAAATGAAGATGCTAAGGTTCTCCTTAGGAGTGACAAGGCTGGATAAGAATAGGCATGAGATCATCAGAGGTACAGCACAGGTTGAACAACTGGGAGATACATTTAGAGAGACCAGACTGAGATGGTTTGGACGTGTCCAGAGGAGGGACAGTGGGTATACTGGTAGAATGATGTTAGAAATCAAGCTGCCAGGAAAAAGAAAAAGAGGAAGGTCAAAGTGGAGATATAGGGATGCACTTGGAGAGGACATGAAGGTAGTTGGAGTGAGGACGAGGATGCAGAGGACAGAGTGAGGTGGAGGAGGATGACTCGCTGTGGCGACCCCTGAAGAGGGAAAAGCCGAAAGAAGAAGAAGAAAAGTGAAAATAAAATGGTATTTAAAATATGATGTATGAAACAACAACAACAACAACAAAAAAACAGATATGTTGTAAGGCGATGTAGAAAGCTAAAAACAGGAACATGTCCGCATTGGTTTTTGCCAGAAACTTAACAGATGTTTGAAGCCACTTAGAGAGGTCAAGGTCGAGAGCTTCAGGTCTTTTTACAAGATATTCCAGGAAACAGGAGCGAGTAGGAGAAGGCCCTTTTGCCAAGTTCAGTCCTCACTGAGGGAACACTGCAGGTAATAATGTCCTGAGAGCGCACGCCGTAGCTACACTCACACAGAGACATGTAGGAGGAGATGTATGAAGGCAGCAGACCAAGAAGTGATTTAAAGATTAAAACTGTTGACATTAATATTCACGTCGGCGGTAATGACACCCGCTTATGTCAACCGGAGGTCACTAAAATTAATGTTGCTTCAATGTGTAATTTTGTAAATAATTTACGAAAAATCCATAAGACTTGATATATATATGTGCTGGGCGGGTCATCCAGTGATGTAGCTCACGTAGCAGCAGCCAATCAACGGCTGCTGCCTGCTATGTCAACATCGGCTTCTTGGAGCATCTCGCTTGGAAACACAGAGAAGATGGTCCCATTAACCGGGCTGAGTTGGGGTGGGAGCTGGCAGTGGACAGTCCCTTAATTTATTTAGGTGAGGTGTGGTGCGGAGCCGATGAAAGCTGAAGAGGCTTTCAGTGACCTCTGCTCCTTGTAGCCTCACTGTTCCACATGTCTCCCCCTTATTCAAATACATACTCTGTCACTACAGCTGACTTTCATTGGTCTTCTTTCAAGTGCATACTTCCACCTCTCCAAGTTCTCCTCTTCCTGTTCCCTGTTCTCACCACAGATCACAAAGTCATCTCCAAACATCATCTGTGCTGTTCTTTACTGAAAGAAAACAATTAAAACCAACATGACCTGATCCTCGTGTTGATCTGTGGTCACATGACCTGATATCTTGGGGTGGGATCTCCAGGGCCCCCGCAGGACCCTGTTGGCCCCTGACAGACTGATGTCTGAGGTTTAGTTCTTGTTTCTGCAGGTTTTCAGTCAAATGAACAGGAAAGACTCTGTGCCTTCAGTAACAGCCTGCAGGAGGCGGAGTCTGTCTCCACCAATGAGCTGCGAGGAGAGGTGCTGGAGAACGGCACGATTCGCTGCAGCCGTGGCTCCCGCTGCTATGGATTGTGGGAAAAACGAAAGGATGGAGAGATGAAGCTGCTGAACCAAGGTGAGGAACATTATTTAAATATTTAGGTTATATTCATTTAATAAAGGATGCTGAAGCAGCCATTTCACTGCTCTGGCAAAACTGTTTCAGAAAACAGTTCAAATGTTTCTGTCCAGGATGTTGGACTCATGTTGGACACCAGCAGGAGTGTCTTGGCAGACACTGCATCCTGGAGACCGCTACGCCTTCTCAGATTCACAGAGCCAACTACCACTTCTGCTGCTGCAGCCACGACCTCTGCAACTCTGACTACACAGAGGCTCCGCCTACTGCTGACTCACCTGCCCTCAAGCACATGAGGAAAGATGATCAGGACAGCAGACACAAAGGTGCGCACAGGACATGGTTTACATAGGACATGGTTTACATAGGACATGGTTTACATAGGACATGGTTTACAGAGGACTGGAGTCACAGAGGACAGGAGTGACAGGAGTGACAGAGGACAGGAGTGACAGAGGACAGGTGTGAGTGAAGTCTGGTTCCAATCCTGGTGTCCACAGGATCGTTTCTCACTGAGCTTCAGGTCTTTGAGACAAATCGGTCCCATCCTGACTTTTTTCTGTCCACAGACAGACGTCTGACGCAAAAGGAGAAGATACTCGTTGCCCTGGTAACCGTTTCCACTGCAGCTATTGTCATCATGGCGCTGTTCCTGGGGTACCGTGTGCTCAAAAGTAAAGACACATTTATTTATGTAAATTAATTTACTTTATTTTATTTATTTATTTACTTTAATTATTAGCCAACTTCCTTCCTTTTGTCCTGAACTCGGCAGCGTTTCAAGTAATTTTACCTAAACTTTATACATTTGCAGTCTTTAATCCTCAGTCTCGGATTAGTTTGAACCTTTTTTCAGCAAAGATACTTTTTTTTTACAATTTTCATGATTTTAAAAAGGTTTGAGTTTACCAAAGATTTTCTTTGATCCTTACAGGGTCAGGGTCAAATGTATTCATACATCCCCACTAACGTTCGTGTAAACGTCCCTCAGCCAAAGTCTCCTGGACCTTCTGTTTCCATCGTGGACCACTCTTCTTCTTGACAGAACAGTTAGCATTTACATAAATCTGTTTTGTTTTTTATTTGGAGCCCATCTGGAGGTTCTTAAAGTCCAATCCAGAAGTTCAGTGTCAGCCTGGTTTATCAGAACCAGTTTTTTTTTATTGTTGATCTGCAGTAAAACTCTGAGCATGGCAGCAAAAAGAAAAGAGAGAAAGGAAGTTTTTTTTTCTTTCTTAAAATCACTTTGTTACAAAACAGAACATTCCAAGGATTAGACAGATCCGAGTGTCACAATCTGATTGTTTGAACAAAGTTTCATCAGTGACACAGAACTCAGAACCACTGTTACAGAACCTGTTCCCTCTGTGAGGAGGGTCAGGTTCTGTAGAGCCTGACAAAAAAAAAAGTCCAGTTCTGCTGAACCGATCAAATCTGTTAATCAATAACCAGTCATTAATAATATTAATAGTTTGTTGTTTGATCTCAGGGAAACAGAAGCTTCGTCTGACTGCCGTAGATGGCATGGAGGCCGGAAACACAAACTCTGCTGTCGACTTTGACAACCTCAAACTGATGGAGGTACTCGCACACAAACACATTCGCAGAACGCAGGTGGATCATCAGGAAGGTCAAAGATGGCCGACAGAGGACCTCATGTTGAACCTAAAGAAACACCATAGCTTCATTATCTGTTAAGTGGTGAAACAGCTGGAAGAACCTGGAGACGTTGGTGTCTTTGAGGGACATGAGGTCACGGAATAATGGTAAATGGTAAATGGACAGTACTTATATAGCGCCTTTCTATCTTATTTCAAAATACTCAAAGTGCTTTACAACAATCTGTGCCTCATTTACCCGTTCATACAGCACTCTACTAGATCTCTACAAGGATAATTGAACAAATCATTCTAAAGAGGCTAATCAGTGTTTTTATCACATTCATACACCGATGGGACACACATCTGAGGCAATGACAAGTTCAGTGTCTTGCCCAGGGACACTTCAGCATGTGACTGCTGGTGGATTCGAACCCCCAGCTCTTGCATTGGAGGACAACTGCTCTAACCACTCAGCCACAGTCACCTAATCTGTTCCACATCTTGGACAACCTGTCCTCTCCCCCTTCATGACACCCTACGAAGGCAGCCACACAGACGCTACAAGAAATGAATCAATTTGTTGTTTTACTTTAAACAGCTGATGTCCAACATACGGATACTAGTGAAGTGACACACAACTACTGTAAATATGGTGTTATGTACTGTAATTATGCAAAGTATGTGTACCGCACCATCACTGCAGAGCACCACAGTAAAAACGTAAAGTGTGTGTACAGTCTCTTTTTTTTGTACTCATCAGTGACCGTTTGTTTTGAAGTGTGTTTGTTGCTTAGATTTTTACAGTTTTTATTTTAAACCCGTCAGCAGCTGGGACGAACCACTTTCCCTTCCAGGACCGATGAACATATCTTTCTCTGCTGATCTCTTAACGAGCCTCTCTGTCGTCGTCTCTGGCAGCTGATTGGTCGAGGCCGTTACGGCGCCGTGTTCCGTGGCTCTCTGAAGGAGCGCCTCGTGGCCGTTAAGGTCTTCAGCTCGACCAGCAGGCAGAACTTCAGCAACGAGCGCTCCGTCTACAGCCTGCCGCTGCTCCAACAGCACCAGAACATCGCCCGCTTCCTGGGCGCTGACGAGAGGACGGCAGCTGACGGGCAACCCGAGTTCTTGATCCTGATGGAGTTCTACCCACATGTAAGATGGCTGACAGAACACATACTGTTGGTTTTCTTTAATAAACATAGTCATATATTTTTTTAATATAAATAATTTTTAAGAGTTTTCAGAATCCTCTCTGAATCTTCAGGTCTGGGTTGAAGGTAACGAGTTTCTACTGCTCATCTTCACCCCTCCCAGATAATAAATCTGTGTCATGTCCATGCTAGTGGATTGTCATGTTCTCCAGAGGAGGAACACATCTGGTTTTGATCCTGGTCATGTCCTGCTCAGACTGTGGTGTAGTCTGCATCGTGTGGGGGCACTGTGCTGCAGCTCACATTTTGGATCTGATGGAAACCAACTCGTTTACTCAAATTATTGTACTGGGAAACTGCGTTGCCCCGTGTACCCCCCCCCCCCCCCCCACACACACACACACACTCCCGGGACAAGCGCAAGAGATACGTTTTTAAGTTTTAGTCATGAAAGTCTTTATTTCTGGCTGAGATCTGGTACTTCCAACCTTTGTGCCATCCTCTATGAGTTTACAGAACCCTGCTGGGTTCAGAAGGTTCTGAAGTTTCCAACTGGAATGTGGAGCTCAGACGATCTACATGCTGTTTAACAGATCAGAACTTTGCTCTGAAATTTTAGGGTTGTCTGTGGCCTCAGACCCCTGTGACCTCTGACCCCCTGTTACAACTTCCCCCATGATCTCTGACCCATGTGACCTCTGAGCTCTAACCTCTGACCCCTGTGACGTCTGATCTGTGAACTCTGACCCCTGTTATGTCAGGCCCCTGTGACCTCTGATCTCTGTTACCGCTGACCCCTATAAACCCTGGTCTATGACTTCTGACCCCTGTGTACTCTGAGACCTCTGATATCTGTTACCTCTAACCAGTGTGACCTCTGTGATTTCTGTGACTTCTTACCCCTGTGACCTCTGATCTGTTACCGCTGACCCCTGTGAACCCTGGTCTATGACTTCTGACCCCTGCGTACTCTGAGACCTCTGATATCCGTTGCCTCTAACCAGTGTGACCTCTGTAATTTCTGTGACTTCTTACCCCTGTGACCTCTGTGGCCTTTGTGAAGTCTGTGACCTCTGACCTCTGTGAATCCTGACCTGTGACCTTTCAGGGCAGCCTTTCTCGGTTCCTGTCTGTCCACACAGTGGACTGGTTGACATGCTGCCGGATGACCCACGGTGTGACCCGAGGACTCTCCTTCTTGCACTCTGAACTGGACAGAGGAGGTACGTCCCACTAACACTGAAAACCCATCTTGACTTTGAGGGACTGCTCTGCAGCAGATTAATCTACTTTAGCAGAACCGTCAGCAGGACAGTTAGAGCCATAAATTGTCATGTTCTAAAGGAACATGACCAGCAGATGGTTCTGATGGTGTGGAACCAGTTTGAGAAGAAGTTTCACTGAACTTCAGCTTTCTGGTTCATTTTTAAATTAGATTCTGATCTTCCTTTAAATTTTGAAGGAACATTCTTGTATTTTAGCTCAGCTGTTTTACCAAAATGTCTTCAGAACCCTGGAACAGAACCCAGTTTTACAGAATTTTTTCAACCTTCAGTGTTTGACATTTGTAGTGAAGGCTGGTGTCCAGCTGCAGCAGAGGGAGGGTTCTCCATACAGGAGTCTGAGGAACATTCTTAATGTTTTGCTTTTGGTCTGATCAGAGACAAGCGGAGGAACATCTGCTCACCTCTTTACCAGTTGGACTGAGGTTACTGCTGGAACTGCAATGTTCTGAGCTGTCATCATGACATGCTCCAGATGTTCTGATCTGCAGGAAACTAAAAGTTGTTCTGTCTAAAGAGAGTTGGTTCTTCCCTAAGACAGTAGTAGAGGTTCAGTCCAGAAAACATGGTCCATATGTTCTGAGAAACAAGAGGAGGTCCACTCAGAGCAGCAGGGTAACAGAACCTTCTTGTCTCCACTCAGACCAGTACAAACCAGCGGTGGCCCACAGAGACCTGACCAGCAGGAATGTTCTGGTCCGGTCCGATCTATCCTGTGTCCTCGCAGATTTTGGATTGTCCATGAAGGTAACAGGAGCCAGGTCCAGTCTGTCTGGAGATGACGACACCTTGACCATATCTGAGGTCTGTTACAGTTGCGTGTTTTACACCCAGTACTTCCTGCACCAGTAGAACAGGTGTGACATCAGCAGAGGGTGGAACTAATGATTTGTGGTTGCAGGTGGGGACGGTCCGGTACATGGCTCCGGAGCTTCTGGGCGGAGCTCTGAACCTGAGAGACTGTGAGTCTGCGCTGAAACAAGTCGATGTCTATGCGTTGGGGCTGCTGTACTGGGAGAGCTTCAGAAGGTGCTCTGATCTGTTTCCAGGTAAAACCTGACCACACCTATTACCTGTTAAAACCATCTACATGATCCAATTCAATTTATTTCTATGGCGCCAAGTCCCAGAACTGAAGTCATCTCAGGGCAATGTACAAAAACATTCACATACATAAAAAAGCCAACTAGTAAAAATTATGTATCTAAGGAAGAAATGTGGTCAATTCATCCTCCAGCAGTTTAAGCCTATAGCAGAATACCTATGAGATAGATCAGGAAACCAAAGCCAACCCTAACTATAGGATTTATCAAAAAGGAAAGACTTAAGCCCGCTCTTAAAACTGGACAATGTGTCAGCCTCACGGACAGAAAGAAAAAGTTGGTTCCACAAGAGAGGAGCCTGATAACTGAAATCTCTGCCTCCCATTCTACTTTTGGAAACTCTAGGAACCACAAGTAAACCTGTAGTCTGAAAGGAAAGTGCTCTGTTAGGAAAGTATAAAACAACAAGATCTCAAATATAAGATGGCGCTAGGTTGTTGAGAGCTTTGTAGGTTAGAAGTAAGATTTTGAATTAAATTCCGAGTTTGACAGGGAGCCAATGGAGAGAAGCTAAAACTGGATAGATATGATCTCTCCCAGTAACTCCAGTTAAGACTCTGGCAGCAGCATTTTGGATCAACTGAAGACATTTTAAAGAAGTATTTGGACACCCAGATAATAAACCATTGCAATAGTCCAGTCTAGACATGACAAATGCATGGACCAGTTTTTCTGCATCTTTTTTAGATAAGATGTTTCTAATTTTAATGATATTCCGCAGGTGGAGGAAAGCAGTTCTAGTAACGTTTTTAATGTGGGGGATAAAAGACATGTCCTGATCAAAAATAACACCAAGGTTTTTAACAGTAGAACTGGAGGCCAGATTAATGCATCTAAGGAGGGCGAAAGACTGAAAAATGTATTCCTAAGATGCTCAGGTCCAAAAACCACAACCTTGGTCTTCCATCCATCCATCCATTTTCTTTACCCGCTTATTCCATTTTGGGTCACGGGGGTCGCTGGTGCCCATGTCCAGCAATCACTGTGCGAGGGGCGGGGTACACCCTGGACAGGTCGCAAGTCCATCACAGGGACACATAGAGACAAACGAGACAAACAACCATTCACTCTCTCACACACACCTAGGGACAATTTAGAGTTACCAATCAGCCTAACATGCATGTTTTTGGACTGTGGGAGGAAACCGGAGTACCCGGAGAAAACCCACGCAAGCATGGAGAGAACATGCAAACTCCACCCAGAAAGGCCCCTGGACCGGGGTTTGAACCAGGGACCTGCTCGCTGAGAGGCAGCAGCTCTACCAGTGGCGCCACCGTGCTGCCCAACCTTGGTCTTGTCTTAATTTAAAAGCAGAAAATAAAGGGTCATCCAGGTTTTTATGTATTTAAGACATGCTTCTAGTCTAAGTAATTGATTGGATTAATTGTGTTTCATGGATAAATATAACTGTGTATCATCAGCATAACAATGAAAACTTATCCCATGCTGTTTAATAACTTTACCTAATGGAAGCATATACAAGGTAAACAGTATTGGTCCAAGCACTAAACCCTGAGGAACTCCATGACTAACTTTGGTGTATGAAGAAAATTCATTATTTACATTTACAAATTGGAATCTATTAGATAGATATGATTTAAACCATTTAGAGCCGTTCCTGTAGTCCCAATATTATATTCAAGTCTCTGTAGTAGAATATTGTGATCAACTGTATCAAATGCAAACAACAAAGTCCATGCTCAATAATCCAGGTATACAATCCAACAATTTTCAGTCAGGTCATCTGGACAGTTGCTTTTTTTGTGCTGAAACGTTTCACCTTCCACCCAGAAGGCTTCATCAGTCAAGGAAACACAACAAAACTGATTCTTCCCCCAACAGCTTACTCCAAAGTGGAACAAACCATTTAGTTGGTGGTAAGATGGTGTCTTTGGCACACCCCCTCCTCCGGTGCCGGCCCTCTCTCTTGTCGACAGTCACGTAAAACTGGTTCAAAACCAACAAAGTCCACACTCAATAATGTATCAAATACAGCACTGAGGTCTAACAGGACCAGTGTAGACACCTGTCCTTTTAGAGGCCATGAGAATATCATTAGCAACTTTCACCATTTCTGTTTCTGTGCCATGATGAGCTCTAAACCCTGACTGAAACTCTTCAAACAGATCATTTCTTTACAGATCACGCAACTGACCTGCAACTATTTTCTCAAGATTTTTTTTGAGTTTGTTGGATTAAATTTCTATAATTGGCCAGAATTCTCGAATCAAGATCAGGTTTCTTAAGTAAAAGGTTTGATTAGAGCAACCTTAAACGCTGTGGTACGTAACCATTCAATACCAATTGTTAATCAGCACGACGGCTCAGTGGTTAACACTGTTACCTCACAACATGAAGGTCCTGGGTTCAATCTCCGGTTGGACCTGGGGTCTTTCTTTGTGGAGTTTCCATGTTCTTCTTGTGCATGCTTCTCCAGGTACTCCGGTTTCCTCACATTGACAAAAAACATGCATGTTGGGCTGCCTTCAGGTCCCTTGCAAAAGAGATCAGTGATCTCAATGGGATTTACCTAGTTAAATAAAGGTGAATAAAATAATGATACATAATTGAGCCATGCGAAGCTAATGCTAGCATGTGCTAGCAGAGCCTAAATACACTAATAAAAACCAAGAAGTGTTGAAAGACCAAAGGTGTCTCAAACACAATCCAACAGTAGAAGAACAACTGTATTGAGCGTGTTTGTGTACTAGAATGAAGAACTGTGCAAAAGATGGATAAATCCAGATAAACTAGATTTTTACTCCAGCTACCAGCAGCGAAGACAGGAAGTGACACAATATGTCTTACCTTGAATGTCCTTCCGTTAGCAGGCCCACCTGTTATCTGTTCATACTTGTCACACATGTAGCATGTAGAATCAGTGTGTGTTGTTTTTGTCTTTTTACATGTGCATGTTGTGTGTCAGTCATGTTTCTGTTGTGTATTATGTTTTTACTGTAATTGTTGTTTTGTGTTTTTGTGTGTTGTTTTCAAAATGTGTTTTGCGTTGTTTGCTGTGTGTATTGTGTTGGTTGTGTGTTTTGTGAGTGTTTGTTGTTCTGTCTTTAATGTCTTTATTGTGTGTTTAATGTGTTTGCTTTGTGTGTACTTGTTTGTTGTGGTTCCAGGTGACAATGTTCCAGAGTATCAGCTGGCATTCCAGGCCGAAGTGGGGAACTGTCCGAGCGTTGAAGACATGCAGTTCCTGGTGGTCCAGCAGAAACTCAGACCCGGATTCCCTGAAGCCTGGAAGGAGAACAGCCCGGTCAGACTTCCTGTTTCCAGCAGCTCCTAGCAGCCTGAATCCAGGGCAGAATGGCCCATGACAATGTCTGCTGTAATTTTTGTTCCATCCAGAACTGCAGCTGCCGCTGGAATCATGTTGAGCCTGCTGTATTTGTGAGTCTTTGTGTTGTTGTGTGTCTGCAGGCGCAGCGGTCCCTGAAGGAGACCATAGAGGACTGCTGGGATCAGGACTCTGAGGCTCGACTTACCGCTCAGTGTGCCGAGGAGCGTCTGGTCGAACTCACACTGCTGAGCTCGCACACGATGCTACACATCAACACAACGCAACACAACCACAGGTACACAACAACCACAAGTACACAACAATTACCGGTACACAGCAGCCACAGGTATGCAGTGACTACAGATACACAACAATCACATGCATGCAACAACCCCAGATATACAAAAGCTATAGGTACACAACAATCACAAGTACACAGTAATTCAAGGTACATAATGACTACAGTGACACATCCTTCAGAGTCTACCTGTGTTTCTTCCTTTTTTGATGTTCCAGGAATCTGTCTAATGGCTGCTGGACCTCTCAGTTTGGCTCCGCCTCCTCATACATTGAGGATCTTCAGGTGGACATGGTCAGAAATCTCCAGGGAGACAGGAAGTCAGCACCAGTTGTCATGATGACCTCTGGTGGAGTAGAAGGTGTGAAGAAGAACTGGAAGTCCATCAACTCCACACGGCAGCAGGAGCAGGTAGAAGCTCATGGATTTTGTAAAACCTGAAACCTTAATGAAACATGAACTCATCAGTGGTTCTGTCTGTCCATCTTTCATGGCCCGGTTCAGTCATGGACCTCAGACGACAGCATGGTGTTCTCCAACAGCCTGAGGATGGACTCTGTCATCTGCACTGTCTCTGAGTCTCAGCTCAGCGGTAACTTACAGAATAATATTCATCTTCTGTTAATAAATCATGACCCTCTGACAGTACTTGTCTGGACCACCAGGTGGTGCCAGGACCAGTGGTCTGCTGCAGCTCACAGAAGAAGACCTGGAGGCCACCAAGCTGGACCCAAAAGAGGTTTCATGTTTTTATCCCCTCCCGTCTGTGGTTTCTCTTGCTGCTCACATGGACTTTAGCTGTCAGCACCTGTCTCTGTAGGTCCAGAAGAACCTGAGGGACCGGTCTGAAGAAAACCTGATGGAGCACTCACAGAAGCAGTTTGGGTCAGAACCACAGACCTCCAGCCTGCTGGACCTTCAGACACCTCACCGTACAGAGGTAATGCTGCTCATCTAGCTTCAGTCTCTGCGGGGCTGCTGTTGAATGCTGTGACATCACTTCCTGTTTTTTCTCAGGGGATTCCAGAGTCTTTCTCATCAATCCAGAACCTTCTTAAGCAGCAGAACCTGCCCCAGAGGCCCACCTGTCTTCACCTGCAGTCCAAACCTAAGGAGATTGGCTCAGTGTCCTCTCAACTGAAGCAGGACCCCCCCCGAAAAGTGAGACAGGTAGGACAAGTGAGACAGGTAGAATGGGTCATAATTTGTTGGATCTTGTTAGTTTTGACCCGGAATGTCTTGTGTCTCAGGTGGAAACAGGTGTTGCTAAGATGAACACAGTGAAAGTTGGCCCACCTGCAGAGCCACACCTGGTTACCACGGTTACCAACATGAGAAACATCAATGCAGCAGGGAGAGACGTCCACCGGAGTTGCAGTGCCGGTGTTCCTACCTTGGTGACCAACTGGACCACAGGAGACGGAAGAACCAACCCTGCAGGCCCTCAGGAGGAGGAGGAGGAGGTGGCAGGGATGGGAGAAGGAGAAGGAGGAGGAAAGCACCTGAATCTCCTTCACTTCAGTCCTGATGAGGAAGAACCTCTGTTGGAGAGAGAGCAGCTTCCTGCAGAGACAGAACCTCCCCGTCCTCCTCAAAGGTGGGCTGGAGGACATGGACCTAACTCCAACAACAACAACAACCGACTCACACCGGGCTCAGAGCTCAGCGGGCCTGACCCCGAACCACAACCAGAAACCAAGATCAGTGGACCTGGTGAACAGAAGGTTCTGCTCTCTGGTCCAGCAGCCCCACAGGCCCCTCCCACTACCTGTGACAGAGGCTCAGATACCAGTCCATGTCAGGAAGGTCCAGAAATTGGTTCATATTCAGAACCACCAGGATTCCAGACCTCACAGGAAGAAAACCTGGTTCCTGAAGCTTCTTGTTCTGGATCTTTGACCTCAGATACACTAACCCTGGATCAGAAACCTTCACCACCAGAACCTGCAGGAGTTCTAGAACCTCATACAGGAGCTTTAGAACCTGCTCTGGAAAAAACTTCCACATCTGAACCGTTAGATCTACAGAACCAAGCTTTAGATCCTCAGATACTGGGTCTGCTGCAGGTCCAGTTGAGACCAAAGACTACCAGGAGACCAGAGCGTCCCTGTTCTCTAGACCTGTCCTGCCTCTCCTCAGGTGAGTCCTCATCAGAACATTAATCCTTGTTTCTTTACATCATCAGAACTTTTCAACCCAGTGGAAGGTTCTGTAACACATCTGTTCCTGAACACAGGCTTTTCTTTTTCAGGTGATGGTTTTGTGCCAGACTCCGGTAGTCTGAGCGCCACAGGAGAAAAGATCAAACGTCGTGTAAAGACGCCCTACACCCTGAAAAAATGGCGGCCGGCCTCGTGGGTTGTTTCTGCAGACTCTGCTCTGGATCTGGACTTTGAGTTCAGCTCCACCAATGGTGGTCAGATTCAGTCCTCCTCCAGTGCCAGCATGAACCAGTCCAAATCTAGCATGGCAGTATTCCTTGTTGGAGGAGGAGCCACAGCAACAACAACCTCTGACCCTGACAGGATGACCCAGTTCTAAAGAGACTGGAAGTTTTTGTTGTTGTAATCTGTGGTCTGAACATGGCTGTAATAGGCCGGTTTGGTTCTGTTAATCCGAAATGCCACAAACAGAACAAGAAAAACAGTGGTTTTATTCAAAACCATCCAGACTCTGCTGACGCTTCACGAAGTTCAACGTGTGCCCCTGGTACAGGTAGAACCTCCACAGGTTGGTTCTTCAAAAGTTCTGGACTCTGGTGGATTGTCTGAACACTCATGTTGTACACATGATGTTGAGTTCTTTCCAGTTTCAACAACATTTTTATATTATTTACAACATAAACCTGCTTCCTGCAGATGAAACGCGTTCAAAAGTTAAACAATCGGAATTAAATTTGAAATTTCTAAGAAAAACAACTTTTTACTCAGTTTCATGTTTTATTGACAGAACATTAGAGTGTTTATGACTTGCATGTTTTATATAGAAGTATTTAATACTGAGGTAGACTTTCAGTTGTCAGGATAAAAACCAGGAGTTTAGTTCTGTAGTTGAAGACATTTCTTCTCATCAGAGGAGATTTCTCTGTTTAAACCTGCAGAGTGTGGAGTTTTCAAAACTTTAAACTGAAGGGAGACGTTCAGTTAAGTAAACTGGAGGTCAAAGACACTTCCCTCACTCCGGAGGGTTATCAAGGTTTTGTCTCCCTCCTGAGGGTCATCGGGGTCTTTGCCTCCCTCGAGAGGGTCATTGGTGTCTTTGTCTCCCTCCTGAGGGTCATCGGGGTATTTGCCTCCCTCCAGAGGGTCATTGGTGTCTTTGTCTCCCTCCAGAGGGTCATCGGGGTCTTTGTCTCCCTCCTGAGGGTCAATGAGATCTTTGTCTCCCTCCTGAGGGTCATCGGGTTTTTTGTCTCCCTCATGAGGGTCATCGGAGCCTTTGTTTCTCTTCTGAAGGTCATCGGGGTCTTTGGCTCCCTCTTGAGGGTCATCAGGGTCTTTGTCTCTTTCCTGAGGGTCATCGGGGTCTTTGTCTCCCTCCTGAAGGTCATCGGGGTCTTTGTCTCCCTCCTGAAGGTCATCAAGGTCTTTGTCTCCCTCCTGAGGGTCATCGGGGTCTTTGTCCCCCTCCTGAGGGTCATTGGGGTCTTTGTCCCCCTCCTGAGGGTCATTGGGGTCTTTGTCTCCCTCCTGAGGGTCATCGGGGTTTTTGTCTCCCTCCTGAGGGTCATCAGGTTCTTTGTCTCCCTCCCGAGGATCATCAGGGTCTTTGTCTCCCTACACTCTCCCATCTGTTTAGTTTTTATATTTTCTACAGTTTTAACTGTTTTTAGATGCTTCTGGGTCTTCAAGGTTTGTGTGACAGAAGTTCTGAGCAGAGCCTCAGAATCAGGACCCAGTTTGATTTTAAAACACCTGTAACATATATATATATATATAAGCATTTAGGATTCATAACTTATAAACCATGTGTATGAAGCATCACATGAACATGTGTGCACAGAATGTGGATCTCTGGTTTCAAAAGGTTCTGGTTCTGCTCACTGCAGCTTTGATGGACTTCCTGTTGAACTCAACAGAACCACTCTCTTCAGAGGTCATAAAGATCCTTATTAATATTTTATCTGCTGCTCCTGAAGACAGGTGCTTCCTCTGAAACAAAGTTTACTTCCTGTCTCTAAGACTCCACCCCTGAAAATATTCTGTCATCTGATTGGTCAGAATTTGGAAACCTGTGGAGGGTCTGTGAGGGTCTGGGGTTGGCCTGTTGACATACAGTTTGTTAGAACAATGGACTCCATGTTGGATGCAGGACAGGTCCCAGTACATCTTATCACCCTCTAAGTTAAGTCTAGTTAGGTTTAGTTTAAGTCCTGAGGATCAGGTCTTCTCTAATGTCCTGAGGATCAGGTCTAAGTCCTGAGGATAGCGTCCTCTCTAACATCGTGAGAATCCAGTCCTCTGTAAATCCTGAGGATCTGGTTCTCTTGACAGCCTAGCCTCCGTGTAGATAATTGTCTGTCTGGAATGTTCTGGGATGTTTGAGTGTCTTGGTGATCATGTTGTGTATCTGTTGGTATAAAGACTTGTATATGAACTCATGTAGCACCTGAACACTGGCTGGGCCTCCTTTATCATATTATGGGCCATTGTTTCCATGGAAACAAAACACAAAGATTCTCTACCCCAGTAGCGTTCAATAAAGTTAATTAATCAATAACGAAATGAATTTGTGTGTTGTTTCTTAATGGTTTCTCAGTTTACCTGTTTATCACCTGTTCACAAAGTACTTCAGTTTACAATCAGCTCTTTCATTCACTCAATCATTTAAATACTAAAACCAAAGATCTGCGTCCCCTGGTGGTCCGAGGTGGGGATTCTGAAACCTAGACTGTTCAAAGCTTCTGTTCACTTTTAAGATTTCAAATTCTGCAAAGTCATTGTACAAGGTATTCCAAATACCCGGCTGGCGTGGGAGGGGGTTCTGTCTATGATGGGGATGCCAACTAAGAAAATTCACATTGCTCTTAACTACTCATCTTTGGAACTGTCAAATTATTTTAATTTATTTTACAATGTTTTAGATCTAATGACTACTGAGGAGCGTTCTGGTTTTAAAGAAGCATTATCAGGTGCCTCAGTACATGCTGACACTGGGAGTGCATTTAACCTTTTTAAAAAGACTAAAGAAAGGAAAAGTCCAGGTCCTGAGGACATAGGGGTCATACGCTTAAGAACTGTGCCCTGCGGTTAGCAGACTTTTTTTTGGTTTCTTTTTACCATGTCTCTCCAAAACCTATAGGGTCCCTTAGCTCTGGCATGACCAGCAGTCAAGGATTTTTCTTTTAAGGGGCCAAAATCAGCCAATTAAAATGTGTCTCTCTCTAGTTTGAAGGCAGAAACAGACAGAAAAGACTCAGACAGAGGAAACGTGTAGTGCTGAAATCATGCTTTATTAAATCAGTAATGCATCAAACTCCAGGAGGAAGAAATTTAGTTCTACATCAGCAGAATAATTCAATCAAAGTGCAGGGCTGCAGATCATCTCACAGGAGATAAACGCTGTGATGTGAACAAAGAAAACCCCGACTAACGAAACAGTGAAACGACTAAAATCTACACTCACACCAAAAACACAAACATGGTAGCTACAATCCTCCCGGAGATGGCGCTGTTTCTGCCCAGCAGAGCTGGCGCTGACTTCTTGTTTACTCATGGCCAGAAGATGTTTCCGTTAAGAAGAACACTCGGCTGTCCTGTGGCAGAAACAGCGCTCTTTATTTAAATGAATCTTGACGCAGAGAGGGCAGGCCGCTCGCGCTCTCTGCAGGTCATCACATCATGGCGGTACGACGCAGTCAGTCTGAGCACAAGGCCGGTTCACGTTGCTTACATGAGGGTGATGCAAACAACGCTCAGGGCCTTACGCTCATGGTACAACTGTAAAATCTCACGCACAGACGCGTGTAAAAAACTTAGTCTTTCTGTTTGTGGTTCGTAACATCAACAGGGAGCCTCTCTACCTGCTGAGGCAATCTTAGACTTCAACTGATCGTTGAGGCACAGAGTTTAGTTTCTCACTTTAACAGGGTATTCGTTCCTGTCGAAACTTTCTCCTGTTCAACTACATCAAGTTTCTTTAAGTTTCAGTTTATATTATTGTCATAAATAACAATGCATACATTTCCCATAACCGGTAAATTCGGCTATATACATTATGTACATGTCACAGAAAAATGGATCAAACATCCTAAGTCAATGTTATCCAATATGGCACATTTTACATCTTTAGACTTCAGTCTAGTTTGGCAAAAATTAATGTCAAGTTTGGTACAAAAATAGTTCCTATTTACAAGAAAATTCCTGATCTTTATCAAGTAATGTTGTAAATAAAAGTCTGGGATGAGGGAAATGGGGGAAATCAAATTTTCTTTGTTATTTTTTACATGGACCGGATGTGAATGTTAACAGTTGCAGAGTCTGAGCCGAGCTCGTTGGACAGTCGGAGGGTGTACGCTCCTGTGTCAGCCTCCTTCACCGCAGAGATCATCAGCGTGGACAGATCATCTGCGTTCCCCACACGAAACCGCTCATCCTCGTTAGGGAGAGTCCAACCCGACCGGACCCACTGTACGGAGGGGGCGGGGTCTCCGGAGAACACGCCTGTCACGGTCAGGGATTTCCCTGGCTCAGCACTTACATGCTCAGGAAGAGATTCGATCTTTGGTGGAGAGCCTGTTAACGAAGACAGGAACCAAGTCAGTGATGGATCTTATACACCCAGAATGACTCTCTGTGTTCCCTTCATCTCATCGTTGTCTCAACATTTATAATGACCCAGAAAACAGTTTTGCAAGTTGCGAATACAAAATCAAGCTGTGCTTTATTTCATTTTTTTTTGATTGAGCACTCAAAATGTGGCCACATGATTCATTGGTTGCTTGGTCACAAGTTCACACTTGTGAGACTGCAACAGAAAATGTACCTGTTTCTCTCAATTTTAATTAAATTTTGAGCCACCATCGAGTTTATTACAGTCACAGCACAGTGTTACACTGTATTCTAGGGATGCACAATATTATTGGCATGGTTTCGATATTGGCCGATATTAGTGATAAAGTTAAATGTCAGACATCGGCCATTCCATCAAAATAACTAATCAATATAAAAGATGATATATATATATATATATATATATATATATATATATATATATATATACACACACACACACACACACACACACAAGGTGCTGTTTTTGTATGACAACCCACTGACAAGGATGCCTGCAGCGCCAGCACATTACGACATCTCGCGTGCCGTTGAGTTTAGATTTGTGAAAATTTACTCATTTGCACTGTTCCGAGTGTTGTCGTAGTGTTAGAGAGAGTTGATATCATGAATAAATTTGACATTAAACATAATCCAAGTTGAAGTGTTACATCATTTTCAGCCCCCTTTTTGGCATCTGCATTTGGTAGCAGGCCAAACTGACAAAGACCATGCAGAATAATGTATTTTAATTCCACAGCAGAGAAAGCTATGTAGACTCTGTCAGTAGGTCTAGAGGGAAAAATATCTGTATTGGTATCGGTTATCTGCCAAATAGGTTTTAACATATCGGCATATCAGATATCGGCAAAAAATCCAATATTGTGCATCCCTACTGTATTCCATAAACAATGTATTTCATTCAGGTATGTGTACATGTTAGAGAGGTAGACAGGGCTGTGATTCACTACTGATTTCAGGTTTGATGTGGTTCCATCAATGCATACATTTCAAATGTTAACTGCTGTTTGCAAAGAAAAAAAAAGGTGGTGGTGGGGTGTCATGAATTTCCACAGTGCTTTTGAAATCCAGCTCCTCACACATCTGTTGTTACAGACGCATCAATGTACACTTCTCACCTCTTTTAGCCCCAGTGGTAAGGCGGCCAACATGCGAACAGGAAGACATTTCCATCGTTTGGCTGCTGGAGCTCATGGAAACCAATGACTCAGCCATCATGGCAGAGAAGTTAGTTGCAGACATGCTCTCAAACGAATATTGGCCGACAGCAGTGCGTGAACCTCTGCTGTAGCTGCTGGCCTCTGTTTGAACAGAGGAGGTCAAGAAACCTTTCTGCATGCTCTCAGCAGCATCAGTAAGAGATCTGCCTTCCACAGTCATAATTTTTGTTGGGTCCTCAACAAGAGCTGTGAAATTGCAAACAAGTAAAAAGCTCAGACCGTGAAGTGCAGAGAGAACAAGAGCCTGTATGCAGACATAGCGCCTAAACTGAAGTGCCTTGGCGTTCCATTTACAACTATTTCAGCCTTGATTTTGGAGTCTTAAGTGTTTTTTATGACAAGTCTGATCATGCAGACCAATGACTGCCCAGTGAAGCAGTCTTCTCAATAACTTTTTGAGTCAGAGGCTAACGGCCCAGAGTAGGAGGCTATTTCCTAACACCAACACATAGATGTTCTGTGCGGTGAAAATGTTGGTGAACGCAGACTGTTTAAACACTGAATGATGAAAATGTCTCACCAGCATCACAGACATGAAAAGTGTTATGAAGTCATAATCAGCAGCAGCTGTCAATCAATTTTGCAGAGCAAGATAACATACATTTTCAAGAATCTAATAAATGATTATTTCACAATGAATTTATCTTTATTCATTATCTTGCAGCAGTCTCAGCTGAACGCATGCAGCTCAAAAACTTCACTTTGTTTTCTGAAACTACAGACAAGATTGTGAAATCTGAGTGACATCAAAAGCATCATATTGTGAACGTTTGAATATGACTGTTTTTACCCTTTAACTTCATTCATGTTCCTCAGGGGGAAAATCAACCACCTTAAAATATTAGTTTTAAATACTTGTTCCAAATAAACCTCAGTGTTTTAGAGCTGTCTCAGCCTGCAATACAAATATCAAATTTTAATAATTAAAAAAAAAAAAAATTTTTAAATGCTGTAAGGATTTTTTTGTTTAAAAAAACTCTGCACTAACGTATTTTAAAATTGATAAAATATTTATTTTACGGTAATTTAAAAAAAAGTGCATTTTCCTCCATTAGTCCACCCTTTGTGTCAACATCCACATCCTCTGTTCTCCAGAGCTAGAACAGAAATATGTTGTATTTATTGCACAAAACAAAAGATTTATAGGTGTAGGTTTAAAGGACAGCTTGTTTTTGGCTTACCTTGTACAATGACTGCGCAGGTGGATGCTGCTACTCCAGCAGCATTGGTAACAGTGCACTTGTACACCCCACTATCAGAGATTTCTGATTCGTAGATCTCTAGATGAGCTGAACCACCATCCTCCAATATTTTATATTTCCCACCCTGAGACAGAACCTAATCATCAAGAAAATATGGTTATTATTGGTTATCTTGAATACCAAAATATTGTGAGTATTTCACAGTATTACCTTTCCATCCTTCATCCAAGAAACTGCAGGTTTAGGTTCTCCTGTCATCTTTACCGACAGTTTGATGATAGAGTCAGGAATTGCAGTGATGTCACTCAGTTCAGCTGAGAAGGATGGCTTCTTTTCAAGAGGTGGTGACCTCACCCTCTTTGGTGACTTGAATGGAGAGATCCCTTGTTCCTTTTCAGATGGCGTTGGAGATTTGGGAGTAGGGGACTTTGGTGTTGGAGACTTTGGTGTTGGAGACTTTGGTGTTGGGGATTTTGGTGAGACTGGGGACTTAACCCTTTGAGGTGACTTGATGGGCTCAGGGGACTTTAATCTCTGAGGAGATTTGACTGGTTCAGGAGACTTGGCAACAGGAGATTTAGCCTCTGGAGAAGTAACTCTGGGAGCAGCAACTACTTCTTCCTTTGACTCGGACTTTTTGATTGTTAAAGTGAAATGGGCTTCCTGTTTTCCTCCAGTGTTTTCTACTAGTAGAGTGTAGTTTCCTTCATCTGACATCTCAACAGCAGAGATCTCAAAGGTGGAGTTGAACTGAGTAGAGACAACGTGGTGACGGGCAGAGGAACCAACAGCTTCTCCTTCACGTAGCCAGGTGATAGATGGGGCTGGATCACCATCCACATCACACTCAAATCTGGCGTTTTCTCCCTTCTCCACAGTCATGGACTTTGGTTTGGTTACAATTGTGGCAGGAACACTTGGCTTCTCCTTTGGCTTCTGGACAATAGTAGTAGTCTCTTTAGCAGTTTCAGTCACAACTTTTTCTACAGTTGATTTAGAAGATGAAACATGGTACACTTCTGTTCGGGTCATTTCTGGTAGATGGGCTGATGGAGGTTCCTCGTCCTTGCGGAGGGATGAGAAAGCAACATATTCTTCACCTGTTACATCCAGTGTAGCATAGTCAGAAGTCTCTCCTTTACAGTTCTTACAGATCACACGATAGGTACCAGTATCTTCAGTCACACAGTTGTTGATCTGGAGAGTTAAAACACCACTAAAGTTGGTCATGTGGTATTTGCCGTTCTGATGAATTTCTTTACCATTGTGGAACCATGTGATCTCAGGCTCAGGCTTAGCTTGAATATTTAGGGTAAATCTTGTGTTAGAGCCATAGGGTACACGATGTGATCGCATCCTGATGGTAATACGTGGGGGATGGTCAAGGCTAAAGGGAGCCTGTGTCACCACCTCAACCGTCTTCTCTATAGATTTTCTCTCTGATCTGAGAGCCTGCTTCCTCTCTTCATACCTGGATAAAAAGTCAACTTTAGGAAAAGTAATATCAGTTTTCAAGGCTTTCTCCTGGGTAAGATATTTTGTTGTTGTTGGTTCAGGTGAAGGAAGCTTTTTAATTGGTTTAGGCACATATTCTGCTGTAAAAGTTGTCAGGTGTTCAGATTCAGTGATCTCAGAGATAGATGAAACTGCAACATCTGCTTCCTTTTTGACAATTCGTGTCTTCTCCTCAAATTCCATCCGTTTGAGCTGACTCTTGTACGTTGAGATTCTCTCTGTGGTTGTATGAGGGCGTAGCAGTTCCAGATCTTCTCTCTCTTCATATACTTTTTGTTTCTGCCTTGGAGGTTTGTATGTGGCTTTATCATGACGTTGGCGAAGGTCAACAAAGCTTGGTCCAGCCTCATATTTAGATGGAATTCTGTAGGAGTCGTATCTTTTAACCTCTTCTTCTTCCTCCTCACTGTCGACTCTCCTTGGAGAGGAAGGATGTAAAGCAGACAGTTCAAAGCGAACTGGGCTGAGACTTGGTGGAGAAGCAGAGTAGCCTAGTTCCAGCTCCTCTTCCAGACGAAGTCTCTCCTCCTCTGTTCTTTTCATGGACAGATACTCATCCACAGGTAGCAGTAGCTCCTCATCTGAGAGATCACCTAAAGACCTCCTCCTGATTCTGCGATAAGAATCCATCTCAGGAGAAGAAGTGCGATATCTTGCAGGCCTCACTGTCTCCAAGTCATCTTGAGTCAGAGATGAAATTCGCCACTTAGGCTTATACTGTTCCTTGATTCTGATGGGAACCTCATAGAACTGTTCCCACCTGGAAAGGCGAATACGTTTCATTCTCTTCTGCCGAATTTTTTCCATTGGCTCAGGGAACTCATATTGATCCCGCAGCTTCTTGTACCATTTCATGTCAGAGAGTGGCTGGAAGTGTTTTATTTCCACATCCTCCTCAAGAACAGCAGGGTTAATGATGCGAGGTGTGGGGACAACATAAGGCATACGCATTCTCTTCTCATCTGCCCGTTTCTTCCTCTCCTCTTGTTCTTTCTTTATCTCAGCTTCAGTCTTTTCACCTTTCTTAGTTGTGACAGCAGGTTTGAACATGGTGGCTGCTTCCCTGACAGCTTCTACAGCTAAAGGTGGCAGAGGTGAAACAACAGTACCTGACAAAATCTGGGACAGTCTGACCTTTTTGTCTAACTCTTCCTGCCCAGACAGCTTTCTCTTCTCCTTTTCACTGGTCTCATAGTCTTTCTTGACATGAATTACTCTTTCTACTTTGAGTGTTGCTTGGCAACTGGCAGATCCAGCAGAGTTGGTAGCTGTGACTCTGTACACACCAGAGTCCTCAGGAAGAGTGTCTTTCACATGAAGGATATAATAGTCCAAGCCCTCATGAACCACCTCAATGGATGGTCCAAAGGCTAAAGGTGTGCCATCCTTCTCCCACTTCAGTGTTGGGTGGCCAGAAACTCTAATCTCAAAACGAACATTCTGACCCTCCTTGCACTCAACATTTGCCAGCAACCGTTTGAACATGGGCCTCAGGGTAAGGTCTGCTGGTTTAGGTCTAGGCACGACAGTAAGGCGAGCCTTGCAGCTGTCATCACCGTACCTGTTGCGAGCCACAACACTATATTCAGCATCGTCTTCTTTCTCCAGATTGCGGATAATCAATTGGTACAAGCCTTTGTCATTAATGAAGCTGTATTTCCTATCATCTTGTCCAGGGATAAGCTTTTGCCCAGTCTTGTGCCAGATGACACGGGGCTCAGGGTGAACAGTGATTGTGACACCAAAGCGTACATCCTCACCAAGATAAGCAGTGCGGTTGACAAGAGGGAGGGTGAACTCTGGTGGCTTTTGAAGCATTCTGGTAGTATCAACTCTGCGCTTTGTTCTCCTTACCACACGGGTGGTGAAGAAGTCTTGGTAAGATCTAACACCATGGACAAACAGCTCAGCATAGGCACTGTCCTCACCATATTCATTTACAACCTTGCATCTGTAAGTACCATCATCTGCTCGTGTGACCTTATTGATAGTAATTACAGCAAGACCATCCTCATATTCAATTTCATATTTGTCTCCAGCTTCAAGTTGCCTCACGCCACAGTACCATGTAACTTCAGTAGTGCTGTCATAGTTTTCAATGTTACAGACGAACTTGACATTATCTCCCTCAGTTAACACTGCATGGTTAATCTGGCCTGCAAGAGGACCATGTTCAAATGGAGCAATTTTAACCTTTGACACAGAGACGCCACGCTGGGACCTGATTGAGCCACCACTGGCCACACGGGCTGCAGAGACAACAGTGTTCCATTCTTTCCTGACCATTGTCTGATAGTATCTCTTGTGCCTGCCAGTTGGGATTGCTCTGGCACTAATTTCTTCTGTGGGTTTTGTAAGCCAAGGATGCACCAGAGCTTCAGCTGCAGTCATACGATGCTTGCGTTCCTTAGTCATTAGACGATCTGTGAAGTCTAATACTTCTACACTGACTTGCTTGAAGCACTCATCATCATAGCTGTAGACTGCATTGGATATGTTATCAATCATCTGTTGGTTGGTTTCAGCTGTGAATGGATTAAGTCCACTAAGTAGTACATAGGTAAGAACACCGACTGACCACATATCAGTGACTGTGCTAATCATGTCACACTGGTGGATCTCAGGAGCAGCATACTCTGCAGTAGTGTACTGAATCTTGATTTGTTCTCCAGGAGTCAGATGTATGGACTGCCCCAACTCAATAATCTTCACAGTGGAGCTGGTTCTTGTTGTGTACACAATGTTCTCTGGTCTAATATCAAGGTGCCCATATCTCTGAGAATGCAAAAACTCCAGAGCTGAACACACCTGCCTGATATAGTTTGCAATTTCACGCTCACTTAATTCAAACTCTGGTGTATTAAGTCGCTCAAAAATGTCATGACCCGAGATGAAGTCATAGATCATCACCAACTCTTCTGGGCTTTCAAAAGACTCATGAAGAAGGAGGAAGTTAGTGTGTCTGGCTAGATTCAGTGTTGTAATTTCCTTCTTAATTATTGTCTGATCAGCACCTCTCACTTTGACAAATTTAGCCATGTAAGTTTTCTCAGATCTAATGTCAACACAGCGATGAACAATGCCAAACTGACCTCGACCCAGTTCTTCTGCAATGGAATATTTCTTATGCATATTCTTAGTTTCAGAGTGTTGAGCTTTGCCTTTGGGGACTCGTTCAGTGTCATCAACCTCCCTGTCATAAAGTAGAACCCTGGATTTGTCTTCTTTGGTCATGACAGGTCCACTGCTTTCTGATGGAGCACTCTGTCCAAACTTGTTCTCCGCAATGACTCTGAATTGGTAGCTTGTTCCTCCAAACAAATTAATGACTGTGTAGTGGGTATCACGGGATTGAGCAACACGTTCCCACCTCTCTGCTGTGGTTGGACACTTCTCAATGATGTAACTTATAACCTTGCTGCCACCATCAGATGCTGGAGCCACCCAATTCAGTGTGACAGAGTCCCTGGAGATGTCACTGGCTTTGACACCACGTGGCGGATCAGGCACATCAGCAACGTCCAGCTCTACTGTTTGTTGGTCAATGCCAAATCTGTTCTTGGCACAGACAATGTAGAAACCAGCATCCTTCTTATCTACTCCATTTGGGAACACCAATGAAGTGAAGGATCTGGTGACGATCACCTGGTAGTGTCCATCACTGTCAATAAGATCTTGTCCTTTCTGCCATGTGATGACGGGATCTGGTTTACCACTGAAAGGAATTTTGATATTGACCACTTCCCCACGCAGGGCAGGAATGGCTTCCTTGTCCTTTAGATTCTTTGGCAAGTTGATCTTGGCAGGGACTAAAAATGGACACAAAAAAATTCAGTAAGTAGATGTTTTATTTAGATCAAAATATTATGTTTGGTGGAGAAATTGTTTGTTAGCTTACTTTCAACATCCAGAGAGACTGTAGCACATATAGAGCCTCCTTGGTTGGTGGCCCTGATCTGGTAAACAGTGGAGTCCTCCTCATCAGCCTCGGTGATGACCAGCTGGTGATATCCTCCCTTAAATTCTTGGATCTTGATCTTCTTTTCATCCAAATGTATTTCTTTTCCTCTTCTGAACCATTTAATCACAGGCTTGGGCTGTCCTGTGATCTTGCAAACTAGGGTAGCATTGCTCTTGTACTTGACACTCATGTTTCTCAGCTCCTCCTTGAATGCAGGAGCACGGACTTCCACTGCTGTGGCTGGAATGATAGGACTGGTCTCTTCACTATAGTCACTTTCTCCTCCAAGGTTTTCACACTTAACACGGAAGATGTACTCAGTGCCCTCGGTAAGGTGCTTGACAGAAAACACTGTTTGTTTGATCTCATCTGTAGTCACTGGAGTCCAGTCAGTCCATTCTTTCCTATCCTTCTTGTGCTTCTTCTCAAGACAATAGCTTTTGATCTTAGAACCACCATCACTGAGTGGAGGTTTCCAAGAAACCACACAGGAGTCCTTTGTGATTCCAGAAGCAACTGGCAACAAAGGTGGTGATGGTCTCTCTGTGAACATGAATATTGAAAAATACAACTATCATCAATGCTTTTGTTTTATGTATCAAGTTTTCACTTATATACTTATGTTTTAAGACATGAAGTCCTTAACATATCTCATCATTGCTTTGTACCTACCGAGTTGGCTCTTGATTAGAATAGGTGAAGTGATCTCTAGTGGCTCACTGTTGCCATATCGATTCTGGGCATACACACGGAAGAAGTATCCAGCACTGTCAATAAGGTTGGGCACACGACATGATGTGCTATTAATGGATGAAGAGACCAGTTCCCATTCAGTGCCTTCTTTGTCTTCTTTCTTCTCCACAATATAGTTGGTGATCATGCAGCCTCCATCATCCTTGGGAGGTTTCCAGCTAATGATGACAGAGTTCTTAAGCAGCGCATCCAGGACAATGGGTCCTTGAGGTATATCAGGTTTGTCTGGGAACAAAGACATAATGTGTTAGTTACAAATCCAATAATATGTATTTCATAAATGCATGCATTTCTGAAATAAACAAAGCAGGTAATTTTCACAACATACCATAGATTTCAACACTGAAAGCAGTGTCAGCCCTGCCAAAGTGGTTGTGCAGTCTAATTCTGTATTTTCCTCCATGCACTCTGCGCTGGACATTCTTGATAACCAGGTGTGTGTAATGCTCTGTGGTCTCAATGCCAATGTCTTCTGTGTTTTCTAGTGTCTTTGACCCTTGTAACCACATGATCTTTGGTTGGGGACGACCAATGTAAACAGCATGGATGCGGAGAGTAGTTCCAAGACCAGCATAGTATGTGTTCTTCAGTGGGTAATCAGGATGGAAGGATGGAGCAGCTTCCAACACCAGAATGCCTGTGGCCTCAGCTTCTCCTGCATCATTAATGGCCTTGCAGGTGTATTCTCCCTCATCATCTTGCTGGTCGGTCATAATAGACAGAGAGTGATTGCGGCCATCAGAGTTCATCTCATACTTGCGGGACTCAACAATCTCCTTTCCAGAGTGATACCACTTAATGTCAGGAACAGGTCGGCCAACAATCTGGCACTTCATGACAGCAGGCTGGCCAAGCTTGGCTGTAACTTCATCCATTTCCTTCCTCAAGCTTGGTTTGCTTTCAGCTGTGGGTTCAAAACATGAGACTCTTAATATATTATACAAACATTATCTGTTTAGTAAAGCAACACTATTTGGTTGTACTCACCAGTCAGTTTAGTCTTGATGCATGTGGCTGTCCTACGAGGCCTGCTCATTCCTGTTTCATTCTCAGCAAATACTCTGAACTCATATTCGGTGGCCTCAGCCAGTCCTGGCATTGCAAATTCCTTTTCTTTTAGCCTCTCCTTGTTGCACTTTTTCCATGTACTCTCAATGGATTTTCTGTACTCTACCCAGTAGCCTAGAACCTCCTTTCCACCATCACATTCTGGAGCTTGCCAGCGAATGGTGATAAAGTTGTTACTCACATTCACAGTGTCAATTTCACCTGGCTGGCTGGGTTTGTCTGGAGCACAGAAAGGAAAAAAGAAGTCAAAACTACTTTTCTAAGAGTTGTCTATATTTCATCTGTCAGTAAAACTAAAGAAGTTAATGATACCTCAGTATAAAATTAAGGTTATTTTTATGAAATTACTGTAAAATATTATTTGCAGTTATCTATATCTTGTCCATTAAAATTCCATAAGCTATGATCATTACAGCAGAGCACTCACCAAATGGATCTTTGCATGTAACAGGGTCAGAAGCAGGACCAGCCTGGCTCTCGCCTATATTGTTGGCTGTAACAATGCGGAACTGGTAGTCTGTATCAGGGGTTAGTCCATGTAGAGTAAACATAGTAGAGGTGATCTTGGTATCATGGCGGGACCATGTCTCAGCAGACACCACTTTATACTCAACAAAATAGCCAGTGATGGCAGAACCACCATCATCCTTTGGTCTGGACCAGGCAAGTGCCACTGAACTCTTGGTGACATCCATGATCTCAGGTGGAGCACTTGAAGGCTCTGGTGGACCTGGTTTTAAAAGCCGATCAATTATTCTAAGCATTAATAAATAACTATAATTTTTAAAGATTGTACAAAAATGTAATACTTACAGAGAGGAGTCTTGGGTATCAGTGGTTCTTCTGATTTTAGAGATCCACTAATACCAAAGGAGTTTTCAGCTGTAACCTTGAAGTGGTACTCTGTTCCCTCTTTTAGGCCCTTAACAATGAGCTGAGTCTCAGTCACTCTAGAGTCCACAGTGTACCAGGCATTTCTGGCTGATTCACGTCTTTCTACAATGTAACCAAGGATGTCTGAGCCACCATCATTTGTAGGTGGCTTCCATGAAACCTTGACAGAATTGGCTTGGATCTCTTCAAAGATCATTGGTCCCTCTGGGGCACTTGGGCGGCCAATGACCTTGACTTTAATTTGTGCTTTCTTCTTGCCAACCTTATTCTCCAACATGAGCTCATACAGACCAGATTCATCCCTTTCTGCTCCTTTGATCACCAGCTCACTAGCATCCTCAGTGGAGGCAATCATAGCTCTGGTGGAGATAGCACCACCATCCTTCAACCACTTACAAGTGGGAAGGGGTTTGCCTTTAATGGGTACAGAGAGTCTAACCACTCCTCCATGACGAACCACGTACAGGTCTTTGTATTTCAGCTCCAGGTCATAGTCAGGAGGTTCTGGAAATCAATAATAATAATAAAAAATAATTAAGTACAAGTTCTAACTGTATGCATTGCTTTTTTATACAATTAGAATTTATGGTTCTTTACCAAGCATCTCTGTTACTTTGACTGTTCCAGGTACTTCAGCAGGTTCTCCAGAGCCACCAGCATTGCATGCCATCACACGAAATTTGAACTCTTCTCCTTGTGGCATGTTGGTCAGCGTGTACTCACAGATTAGAGATGGTGTGGTGTTGCACTTGATCCAGGCCAATGTACCCACCTTCTGCATCTCAATCAGATACCCATCCACTCTGGCATCTCCCTCATCATCAGGAGGATTCCAAGCCAGTGATACAGAGGACTTGGTAGTATCAGTGATTCTTGGGTTTTGAGGACAACCAGGGGGATCTGCACAGAAATAAAGTTGCATGTCTACAGTTCAAGCAGTTATATATGTTATGTAATTTTCCTTGTATGTGTCTAACATTTGATGCTAAACTTTATTTCTACGGCATGATCTTAAAGTTGTCTAATGCTATTATCTCTTGTCTTCTATCAGTGTTTTCTCTTACCAATGGGATCAGTTGCTACTGCTGGTTTGGAAGGAAGGCTTGGTTTGCTTATTCCTCTTGCATTAATGGCAGTGATTCTGTGTTCGTACTCCAACCCTTCAATCAGCCCAGTCGACCTATACCTGGTCATGGTCACAGGGTTCTTGTTGGCACGTACCCATCGGTCAGCTCTTACTTCTTTTCGCTCAATGATATATCCAGAAACTTCAAGACCACCATCTTCATCTGGTGTTTCCCAGGCCACAGTCATTCCATCCCGAGATACATCAAAGACGACTGGACGACCAGGAGGTCCAGGCACATCTGTGGAGAAAGCAAAACATGTAACCATTCTACTATTGCAATAGGAGTCTGTACAGAATTACATAATGTACAACTTTGAGACCAAAAGTCTTACTCTTCAGGCTCCTACAGGTAACAATCTCAGACTGCAGGTACTCTCCAGTGCCATAGCGATTTGTAGCAGCTGCACGGAAGACATACTCATCTCCCTCAATTAGGTTCTCAAACCTGAACATTGGACGGCTAACAGAGTCACAGACAGGAACCCAGCCAGGTCTGTGAGCATCACGCTGTTCAACTAGGTAACCACTGATGGGAGCTCCGCCACCTCTGACTGGAGGATCCCAGGTGCAGGTGACAGTGGTGGCATCAATCTCTTCAAACCTGATGGGTCCCTTTGGCTCATCGGGTTTAGCTGATAAGAATGGAGAAACAAAAAATGTTGTTACAGTTTGTACAGCTCTGTGCCATCCAGGTTGTGGCAATTCTTTGAGCATATACCAGCATGATGGCATGCAATGCTGGTGGCTCTGGCAAATGGATCTGGGTATGGGCAATTTCATGTACTTCATGTAAAATATTAGTGACATTAACTGTTCTAAATAATTTGCAATACAATCAATAAATACATGACTTAAAATTAATGTAAAAAGTAGTGATAGCTTCTTACAGAGTATGACGACCTTTATGACCTCAGTGATGACCCCAACAGCATTTTTCACTTCCAAAGTGTAGTCACCACTGTCATCAATGGTGGTGTCAGACACAGTCAGTTTGGAAAACTTGCCAGTGCTCTTGATCTTCACGCGATCTGTGACTTTTAGCTTGTTGTCACCAAAGTACCAGGCACATATGGGAGGAGGTCTGCCAATGATTGGCAGGTCCACTTCCAGGGTCTTACCAGCAAGAACATTAACAACTTTCTGAGGAATACTAGACAAATCCACTTCAGGCATCACTGAGAAGAAAAAGAGGAAAACGTATAAAAGCACTGCACTGATGTGTAATAACGATAAGTTAATGATTAAATATAATTAAGTTTTTCCAGGTAGCACAATATAGTTTTGTTTGTTACCTCTTTGTTCTTGCACAGTGACAGCAGCAACAAGCTCTTTGGGCTTGCTGGCTCCTCTGCTGTTGATGGCTTTAATTCTAAACAAGTACTGCTCATTCTCATTCAGCTTTTCAATGGTGTGCTCAAAATCTGTGAGTTTCAGTGTAGCCACCTTCATCCACTTGTCAGTGCCAAACTTGCATGCTTCAATCATGTAGCTTGTCAGCCTGCTGCCACCATCATGCTCTGGCTTTTCCCAGCCCAGGGTGACCGTGCTCTTTGTCACATCAATCACCTCCAGCTTTTGTGGTGGGAGAGGCACCTCACAAACCAGGACGACATCTGGAGTCTCACAGGGTTCACCAATGCCGTAAATATTTTCAGGGAGGACGCAGAAGTAATATAGCATGCCCTCCAGCAGACCATCAATCTTATATGATGTTTTGCTGCACTTTGATGTGACAGTCTTGTAGGCTCTCATAGAAGCTTCACGCCGCTCAATGATGTAGTTGTTAACGGGGGCACCACCATCCACAGTTGGGGCTTCCCAAGAGATTGTGGCAGTGTCCTTTGTGAGCTCTTTGATTTTGATTGGTCCAGTTGGTCCAGGTGTATCTGAGATTAAAAATAAAATTTGCTGTCAAAATACACGTACAGAACTAAAGTATGGGTTTTATTTAATGTAATCTTGGTAAATAATTATGCACATTTTCTCAGCAGTATTCCCATACTCTACCATCAACTCACCATAGACCTTGACAAGAATACTGATTTCTTGTTTTCCAGCTGAGTTCTCTGCCACTAGCGTGTACTTTCCAGCATCATAACGGTGGACCTTGTCAATGATGAGTGTGGTGGATGCCTTGGTAACCTCTATGAAGCCTCTGTTTTGGAGATCAACACCAGGTTTGGTCCAAGTGATGGTAGGAACTGGACGCCCAGTGACATTAACAAATAGACGGAGAGAGCCACCAGCACGCAAGCAGATTGTCTTTTTGAGGTCATCGTGGAGCTCAAAATCTGGAGGTTCTGTTAGAGTGGTTGGGGAAATTATTGCAAAGTTTGCATGATTGAAAAATTTAACAATAGCTGTATTAGTGAAGACTTGCAAATATTTCTTTAGAAAATGTCATAAATTTGAATAATATGCCATTATCTTTGTAAAATTAAATTAGATGTGTAAATTAAAGAACTTGCTAGAAATAGTTTATTTCTGTGTGTTCTTTATTGCTTTTACCAATTCTCTCCACTGGCTCAGTCTCAGCACATGGTTCACTGAAATCTCCTGTTCCATTGACATTAATACCGGCCACTCTGAAGCGGTACTTCTTGCCAGCTGAAAGTCCAGTTGCCAAATACTCTGTGGCACGCAGGGTCTTTTCATGGACCTTCTTCCATTCCTCTGCTCCAGCTTCCTGCATCTCCAAAATGTAGCCGAGGACATCAGCACCTCCGTCTTCCACAGGTCGAGACCAGGCAAGGCTGATGTTGTCAGCATGGGTGTCAGTGATACGAGGAATAGAAGGAGGAGCAGGGGTGCCTGAGAGAAAGGGATGAATTCATTAGTTTATCTGTGTTATTTTAAAATACTTAATGATTTAAAACAATTAGATAGATTAATTTAAAATAATTATTAAAATAAGTAGTATGTTATTTTGGTTGTTGAACAAACATACTTGTTGGCACTCTGCAGACAACATACAGTGAGACCTCACTGGGCTCACTGTCGCCAGCCTTGTTGATAGCTGTAACTCTGAACTGGTAAATATTGCCTTCATTTAAACCGGACACCTTCAGAATGGTGTCCAGATGGGTACCATCCCTGTTCACTTTTACCCAACGGGCACTCTTTCGTTCACGTTTTTCCACCAGGAAATGGATTATTGGGCTGCCGCCATCACTCTCTGGCTTTAACCACTCAATAGTGGCAAAGTCTTTTCCTGATGCGAGGATCTCTGGGACTCCAGGAGGACTGGGCTTAGCTGAAAAACAGAACAGATGGGATTATGAGTTCAAATCTTTTTCTTGTACTTTCTTTATATATTCTTTCTCAGTTTTGGTTAGATCAGCCTAGCTTTGCTCTCACAATTTAAAACTTTTATTAGTGAAACTAACTTTTGGTAATAAAGAGTTTCACTTAATAATGCTTTGGTGTCAATTTACCAAAATTTATTGAGCATGCATCAGGATACCAAAATTTGACTTTCTGTACTTACTGAATGTGTTTCTGGCCACCATTGGCTGTGACTGGAGATACACGCCGGCACCATACTTGTTGACTCCACGTACTCTGAACAAGTACTCTGTGTTCTTGAACAGACAGGTGATGTTGCACGTCAGCTCCTTGCACTCAGCATGCATGATTACCCAGTTGAGTCTGTTGGTGTCACGCCTCTCTACAATGTAGTGAGTGACCTCATCACCGCCGTCCTCCAGAGGAGGTTTCCAGCTCAGTGTGCATGACTCCTCTGTTATCTTGCTTATCTCAATGCTGCCTTCACACACTCCAGGTGTGTCTGGACAAAAACAGGACATGGTCAAGGTAAATCACTTATATATACAACCAAAGAAATTCATCTGCTTTTGCAGTCTATTCGGTGGGAAAGACAAACAAACAAAAAAACAAGAAGCCACTTACCAAGCACTTTAACGTTGACTTCTGCAGTCTTAGTTCCACTTACGTTCCTGACTGTCAGGATGTATTTTCCAGTGTCGTCTCTGTCACAGAATTTGATGATTGCCATAGCCCTGCGGGGAGTGTACTGCAGATGGTATTTCTCACACAAATCCAGTTCCCGGTTTCCTTTAGACCAGAAAGCCTTGGGGTCAGGTCTGCCTCCAACTGCAGCATCCAGAACCAGGTCTGAACCAGCTCTAACCATTACTGTTTCAGATAGGAGTTTGCTGTCCAGTTGAGCTTTAGGAGGCTCTGTTAAGTGGACACAAATTAAATGTTTATCAGATGGTGCAAAAAATTGTATCACGCATTCAGTTGTGTTTAGTCGTAGCACAAGTTTTTAACATGTTGGTCCAAGAGATCATCAAGAAATGAAAAAATATCTACTTTATTTTACTTTCATAGCTAAGTGCTTACAAGGGTACAGAAATTATAAATCTTACCAAAGTCAGTCTTGCACTGCACAGATCCTGTTGATTCAGATGGTGTGCTGAAGACCTGGTTGGCATTCTTGGCAATGACCCTGAACTCGTAGGCCTCTCCCTCTCCCAAGGCCGTTACAGTGTAGGCATTGTCAGTCACATTGGTGTAGTTACACTTGAGCCAGCGACCCTCACCCGTCAAAGTGTATGGCTTACGCTCAATGATGTAGCCCAGAATGGGACTTCCACCATCATTCAATGGAGCAGCCCATTTCAGTGAAACAGTGGTTCTTGTAACATTTGTGACTTCAGGTTTACTTGGTGGATCTGAGCACAAAACCAAAGATGTTTGTCAGGCATTCAATAAATAAAGGACAAAAGCAATGACACTAAACCATTTTAAACTCACCAACTGGGTTTTGAGCAACTGCTCCCTTGGAGGCCTCACTGGCTTTGCTGAGTCCAGCACTGTTCATGGCATAAATCCTAAACTGGTATTCTAGGCCTTCAACTAGGCCTTCTGCTTTGTAGTAACACTCAAAGCATGGGATCTTGTTTTCTCTCACCCACAATATATTGTTCCTCTCTTTTTTCTCAATCCAATAACCTGTCACCTTGCTTCCACCATCATGGTAAGGTTCCTCCCATTTTAGGGTCATTGTGTTTGCTGTGACATTAAAGACTAAGGGTCTAGTTGGTGGGCCTGGAGGTGCTGTGATGAAAATAGACATTTTGTTGTTACATTATGGTTTAACACAAAGTTTTTTATGTACTTTTCTGATGTTCAAAAGAAAATAGTAAGTTGAGGTTAATGGAGTAACACTTACAGAAAGGATGCTCTGCAACAATCGTCTCAGACTCTGTGGGCTTGCTGACTCCAAACTGGTTCTCAGCAGAAACTCTGAATGTGTACTGCATGTATTTGGTCAGGTGACTAACATGTAGAGATGTGCGCTTCACGCTGGAGTTGATCAACTGCCAAGCTGTAGAACCAGACTCGCGTTTTTCAACAATGTAGTTGGTGATGTCAGTGCCACCATCATCCTCAGGTGGTTGCCAGTTAACAACACAGGACTCAGAAGTGATGGAAGAAATTTCAATGGGTCCAGCTGGAGGACTGGGTCTGCCTGTGACGTTAACTTCAATAGTAAATGTCTTGGTTCCTGCAACATTCTCTAGGATCAGGTAATATTTACCTCCATCCCCTCTCATGGCCTCCTTGACAGAGATACTGGCTCTATCCTTTGTTACTTTGATGCTGACTCTGTCTGAGTTCTTAAGCCTCATTTCTTCCAACTTCCAGGTGACTTTAGGAGCAGGTCTACCACTGATAGGTACATCAATGGTGAAGGTGCTACCAGATCTGCAAGTGATGAGTTGGTTGGCAATCTCACTGAGGTCAGCAGCAGGTTCAATGTGAGGCTCTTTGACCAGCACAGGAGCCAGAGTTTCCTTGGGCATGCTGTAGCCAGATTCATTTTTAGCTTTCACACGGAAGTCATACTCATCACCCTTATTGAGCTTTTCAACTACATAGGTAAGATTCTTGGTGTTACCAATCACTACCCATTTGTCTGTACCCTTCACCCTAGCCTCAATGACATAACATTGGATGCGACTGCCACCATCATGCTCTGGCTTCAGCCAGCCAAGGGACACAGAGTTGTCTGTGGTGTCCAAAATGTCTAGTCTTTTTGGAGATGCTGGCTCTGCAGTGGCAACGACCGGCTCTGTAAGCTCAAATGGCTCACCTATACCATGCTGGTTTTCAGCTGAGACTCTGAAGAAATATGGTACTCCTTCCAGCAGGTCCTGCATCTTGAGGATACACTTTGTGCATTTTCCACCAGATTGTTGCCAAGTGCGACGGCTAGCTTCACGTCTTTCAACAATATAATGATGAATTCGAGCTCCACCATCATTGACAGGTGGCTCCCAGGTAATTGTGACTGAGCCTCTGCAGACTTCTTTCAAAGCTACAGCCTGTGGAGGTCCTGCAGTGTCCATCACTTTAACCACAAATGTAATGGCCTCACTGCCACTAGCATTTTCCAGATTAACAGTGTATTTGCCTGTGTCATATCTTGTGCAGTTTTCAATACTTAAAGAGCTGTAACCATCCATAGTTGCAATTGCAGACAATATACTCAACTCGCCTTCTTCTTTCACCCAAGTAACAGCAGGAATGGGTTTTCCTCTGAAATGGATGCCCAAACATACAGATCCTCCAGCCTTGACAATGTGTGTCTGTTTAAAAGTGGCATCAATATCCACCTGTGGTGGTGTTAACCTGTCAACAGCCTGTGCAGGTTCCAGGATCTCTTTGTATTCACCTTTTCCTATATGATTGAGAGCTGCAACACGGAACTTGTACTCAGCGCCTGTCTTTAGGCCGGCAACCATGTAATTTGTTTCAGCTACAAGCTCCTCATTTGCTTTTTTCCACTCAGTTTCTTCTCCCTTCACCATCTCAATAATGTAGCCAAGGATTTCCATGCCACCATCATCTACAGGTCTGCTCCATTCCAAGCTAATGGAGGTGTTTGTGGAGTCTGACACACAGACCACAGATGGAGCACATGGAATATCTTTAGGTTCAGCAGCCTTGATAGGCAAAGAGATGTTGCTTGGAGCACCAGTACCAGCATCATTGACAGCCATGACACGGAACTCATATTCCATATCTTCTGTCAGGTTAAGCACCTTGTGAGCACATTCAGTGATTGGTTTCTTGGTAATCACTTTGTAGAAACGAACAGTTTTCTTTTCTCGTTTTTCTACAATGTAATACTGTATGGGGTTTCCTCCATCTGATGTTGGCGGAGTCCATGAGAGGGTGATACTCTCTCCTGACACTTCAGTGGCATCGGGAGTTCCTGGAGCATCAGGAGTTGCTGGGAAGAAAATATCTTAGTTTATTGTAACTGATAAAACATAACATAAACATTTAAATATTGCCTAAATATTATGCATTTAAAAAAGTGATATAATTGTTGCACTTACTATATTGCATCTGTGCTATAATGGGGCTTGATTCCAAAGGTCTGCCAACTCCAAACTTGTTAACTGCAGAGACCCTGAACTGGTACTCATTGGTCTTGATGAGCTTGGTAGCATTAAAGGCACACCCCTTACATTCATCGGATACTAGGGCCCAAGAAATCTTGGCAGTCTCTCGTTTCTCAATGATGTAATGTGAAATCTCAGAACAGCCATCATTGTCTGGTTGGTTCCAAGACAGAGTACATTTGCCTTCTGAAATATTACTGAATGTGATTGGTCCTACTGGCTCCCCAGGTGTGTCTGCATCACATAATTGTGTGAAATTGACATGGGAACAAATAGATAAAAGCTCAGTAAATGTATATAAACAAATGAAATTGGTCGTGTAAATAACCATACAAAAGCACACTGAGAAAAATATCTAAACTATGTACCTTGGACTTGAACAAGAATGCCCTCCTTCTTAGTTCCAGATCCATTAGTAGCTTCTACGGTGTAGAGGCCACGATGTGTACGATCAGCATCTCTGATTGACACAGTACTGGATCCAGGAACAGTAATAATGTCCATCATATTTTTGGTAATCACTATGCCATCTCTATACCAGACAACCTTGGGAACTGGGCGCCCAGTGATGGTCACCTTCAGCCTGATGTTGTCTCCTGCTTTTACTGTCAAACCTTCAAAGTACTCTGGGCCAAACTCAATGTTTGGAGGAGCTGTTTTAAGAAAAAAACATGTTAGTTTACATTGTAAGCTCCAGAAAAAAATATCAGAACAACTTTTGAGCATAACTAAAGGGCAAAAATAAAAACAATGCACAAAACCCTTATTATTTATAAATTATTTATGCAAATTAAAATAATATCTTTCCTTTATATGTTGATACTCACCATTTTCACTTCGGACGGCAATTAATCCAGATGAGTTGGATGGGGGACTAACAACACCAATGGCATTTCTAGCAATGACCCTGAACTCGTAACGTTCATTTGTTGCTAACCCTGTGACAGTATACTGACAGTCGTGCACATCTGTCAAGTTGGCCTTGAACCAGCGACCATGCCCTTGACGTTTCTCAACATTGTAACTAGTGATCTTGCTTCCACCATCCCGTTTAGGTGCATCCCATTTGAGTGCCACTGAGTCACTGGTTACATCAGTGTAGTCAGGTTGGCCAGGAGGATCTGAGAGACATGAAATTTTAGTTAGACTCTCAAACAAACACATCCTTAAAACATGTGGGCAATTTGAAGGGATACAATAGTTGAATAGAGTAGTCTGAACCAGGACTCACCAACAGGACTAACAGCCATTGTTGGCTTGCTCTCATCACTTATTCGGCTGAAGCCAGCATCATTCTGAGCATAAACTCTGAAAGAGTATTCAAGGCCTTCAATGAGCTCCAGAATCCTGTAATCTGTGTCTTTAATCAACAAAGTATTGACTTTTTGCCACATAATGCTGTTCTTTTCCTTCTTCTCCACATGATATCCCTGGATTGGGGTTCCACCATCATAAATTGACTTTTCCCACTGGATTGTCATGCCATCATTGGTAACATTGTAAACAACTGGCTTGCCTGGTGGACCTGGAGGCCTGAACTGGTGCTTGGCAATAACCATCTGTGAAACTAGAGGCTCGCTGATCCCATATCTGTTCTCAGCACACACTCTAAACTGGTACTGGACACCCTTAATCAAGTTAGGGACCCTAAACTGAGTGTCCACTACACTGGAGCATGCCATCTTCCAGTCAGACTTTGAGGTGTCTCGTTTCTCCACAGTGTAGCAAGTGATATTTCCACCACCATCATCATTAGGTTCATCCCAGGAGATCATGATACTTTCAGCTCTCACTTCATCCAAGCGGATGGGTCCAATAGGCTTTGAAGGTGGTCCAAGAGTATTGACATGCATGTGGAAGGATTTCCTGTTTACCTTATTATCAAGGGTCAGAGTATATTTACCCTCATTTTCCTTTTTCACATTTTTAATCATGAGAGTGGCTTTGTTTCCTGTTGTCTTAAAGCGTACTTGGTCACTTTCTTTCAGAGGCAGACTATCCTTTAACCACTGAACAGATGGTCGGGGCTTGCCTCTGTATGGCAGCTCAATGTGAACATTATGACCCAAACGAACACTGATGCTACCATCTGGATACTCTCTAAGGTCTGCATCTGGAGTGATAATGTAGTCAATAACCTTGATGGGTCCATGCTCAACAAATTCACCCTGGCCTTTCTCATTCCTGGCTGCAATTCTGAAAAACACTTCAGAGTGTTCCTTCAGTTTTTTCACCTCAAACTCACACTGTCTGCTGACTCCTCCTAATGACCACTCCTCATCTTTTAGCTTCTTCTCAATTATGTAGTCAGAGATGATGCTGCCACCATCATAATCAGGCTTTAGCCACTGTAGAGTGACAGAGGTCTTAGATGAATCTTTCATTGAAATTTCCTTGACTGGTCCTGGAGTCTCTGTGGCCTTCACTGGCTCTGGCGTTTCACATGGATCACCAATACCATTCTCATTCTCAGCTAAGACACGGAAGAAAAATGATGTCTTTTCTGAAAGATCTTCAATGGTGTATCTAGTATTAGTGCATTTGTTTGTCACTGCAGAGTATGATCTTTTAGAGGAATCTCTTTTCTCAACAATGTAGTTTGTGATCTCAGCACCACCATCAAGGAGTGGAGGTTCCCAGCAGAGTGTGACCGTTCCTCGGGTCACATCCTTCAGAACCAGGTTCCTACATTGAGCTGGGGTGTCCTGGACCTTCACTGAGAGAGTCAGTGTCTTAGGTTCTCCCACACCATTCTCTATTTTGACTGTGTACTTTCCAGTATCAAGCTTGGTCACTTCACGCATAACGAGTACTGTGGTTGAGTCTGAGTGGTGGAACTCATATTTGGGATTGCGATCTATGCATTCTTCTTCTTTGCTCCAGGAAACAGTGGGAGCAGGTCTACCCTTCAAAGGAACAGACAGCTCAACATCTTTTCCAGCCTTTATGATATAGTGAGTTCTCATGGCAACATCTGAGTCAATTTGGGCTTCCTCTGTAAATAACACAACATAGTTATATGTACTGCAAATCACACATACTGTCATCTCAACATAGCTGTATATATGTTTTTGTTACCTAGAATATCCTTGGCCTGCACAGGATCAATCATCTCCAGAGACTCTCCACGGCCAGCACAATTTATAGCAGAGACTCTGAAGAAGTAGTTTACGTTTGGTTTTAGATCATGAACTGTGTACTCTGTTGTTTTGACCTCTCCCTTAGAAGTAATCATGGCCCATTCTTTCTCTCCTTCAACAAGTTTCTCCACCATGTAGCTGATGACCTCACTGCCTCCATTCCATTCTGGTTTGGACCAACCCAAAGTGATGGATGTCTTGGTGGAGTCCACAACCTTCAGCTTGCAGGGCACATCTGGTGGATCTGTGAATAAAATGTGTTACTTAGAAGGTATTGTACCTTGAAATTGATCTTTTTCCAAATCTTTCAATGTTTAATGACTTACCAACTGGGTCAGCGGCCTTATAGTAATCTGATGCATCAGAGAATGGCCCCTCACCAGCTTTGTTAATGGCACAGACACGATACTGGTATTCATTTCCTTCTGTCAGGTGATACACCATCTGTTTGGTGTCAGTGATAGGTTTGTTATAAACCCTGATCCAACGCAAGCTCTTTTTATCTCGTTTCTCCAGGTAATAGCCAGTCACAGTGCTGCCACCATCTACACCTGGTTTAGCCCATTCCACCAGCATGGTGGAGTTGGTAATGGTATTCACTTCTGGAGTATGTGGTTGGCCAGGAGTTACTAAAAAAACATATTTGTTAAGAAATGATAAATGTCATAATGGCAATCAAAACTCAAAAATCCTGTATCATGAAAAAGTTTAAATGTAAGACTAATGAGCTGGAGGCCAACTGAGAAAGGACTGCATGTCACTCTACAGCATGAAACTTACCAAATGCATTCTTAGCAATGATGGGCTCAGACTCGAGTGGCTCTCCGATTCCAAACTTGTTGACACCCATGACACGGAATACATATTCATTTTCACGCACCAGCTTTCCAACACTGATGTGTGTTTGCTCATGTTTATCTGAAACTGTTGACCAGACTACTCTGCTAGTTTCGCGCCTCTCAACAATATAGTGGGTCACTTTAGAACCTCCCTGATCAGACACTGGTACAGGTTCCCAGCTAAAGACAATTCTGTCTGCTGCAACCGAGTTGAAATTAATGAGACCTGCTGGGGGTCCAGGTTTATCTAAAAGGAAGGGAATAAAGGAAAAGAAGAGAGCATAAACATTAACTAAACACATTAGAATCCATGTCTGAGATAAAATATGGTACACTAAAAAAACGAGGTAATTCAAATTGATTTGAAGTACCTAGAATTTCAATCCCAATCGTTGCAGATGCAGATCCCAGAACATTTTTAATCTTGATCTCATATGAGCCTGTGTGCATGCGAGTTGCATCCTTGATCAGAACAGCAGAGGAATCTGTTGTGCTTTCAACAGACACAGTGGAAGATGTTACCAGCTCCTTTTCATCCTTAAGCCACTCTATTGTTGGCAGAGGCTTGGCAATGATGCCTACTCTGAGTTTTACTGAAGCCCCAGCCTTGTACTGAACCACATCAAGATACTCAGGAGGAAGATCAATAAATGGGGCACCTGTCAGACATGAGAATTTATTTGATTAAAAACATAAATATTGTAAAATTAAAGCAGACATACAGTAAACTTTTAAAGATAATTTATTTCTTACCACATGCATCAACACAGGTGACTGGGCCAGCAATGAGAGATGGGCCACTGACTGATCCAACAGCGTTCTTGGCAAACACTCTGAACTCATATGATTCATCTTGGCTTAGTCCAGACACAGTGAAGCCCATCTCAATGATGTTTGAAAAGTTGGCCTTCACCCATCTGCCATTAGAAGCTTCTCTCCTCTCCACACTGTAGCCAGTAATCTTGCTGCCTCCATCGTATGGAGGTCGCTGCCAGGCCAGGCTGACAGAGTTCTTGGTGACTTCTGTGATACGAACATTTGCTGGGGGCTCTGAAGCATTAAAGTGGAAAAGATTTAGGTTTACAGTACTTTAAGAACTGCTTTGGCTTTCATCATTGTTTGTTTTTTACTTAAAATTGTCAATTTTGTTTCTGGAAGAATTAAAATTACGAAATAAAACAAACTGAAAAGTTAAAACTTCTGATGTATTTGTGAATTATTGATTTTCTTCACGTTTAAGAAATACATGTTTCTTAAAAGCATTTATTGCACATCGTTTATGAACAGGGAAGAGCTAGATTCGAAAACTAGAAACTTACCACAAGCATCAATAGCAAGCACCTCTTCAGAGGTTTTGCTCAGCTTGCCAATTCCTGCTGCATTTTCTGCTGCCACCTTAAACTCATAGATGAGGCCAGGACAGATGTTTGTGACTCGCCACTGGTTTCCTGGAATTGCTGTTTTATTGACCTTCTGCCAAAGGATGCTACTCCTCTCCTTCATCTGCAGATGATATCCAATCACAGGACTTCCACCATCACTGACTGGCTCATTCCAGCAAACTGTCAGACTCTCTCTGGAAACAAAGCCAACCCATGGTGTGGATGGAGGTCCTGGGATAGCTATGAGACACAGTTTTCACGTTAGTGTTATTAAGAGAGATTAATCAGTCATAAAAAGTATAAAAAGAAAATGCAGACTTAAGGAACATTCCGAAACATAGTTGATGACTTACTGTATGGAAGCTTAACCATGACTGATT